GCTACCATTAAATTTAATCAAGTTCTTCCATCATTAAAGAATGGTACTCTTTGTTTAGCAGGTCATAATAATATTTTACCAGATTGGAATCCACTCAACAATGGTACTATTTTACTTGATTCATGTGTTCCAACCAATTACAACTCAAGTTTAATTCCAAAAGGTTCAGAAGAAATCCCATGTGATAACTGTCACAATGCCTACATTATTATTCTTTGTTATATGACCATCAATGTTGTTTACAATATTTTCATTCTCTTGGTTATTAAACATGCTGGTGCCACTGTTTTCTCAATTGCCAATACTCTCAGACTCCCATTAACCAATATTGTTTTCTCACTTAAATTCATTATGGGTATTAATGTCTCACCATTCTCTGGCTTATCTATAGCGGGTCTTATTATCATTCTTTTAGGTCTTTCTGGTTATCGTGTGGCTTCTATGGTAAAAGCAAAGAAAGCTGCTGCTGCGGGTGGTGGTGAAGTTACTATTCGTGTTATTCCGGGTATGGGTCCTGCTGGTATGGAAGTTATGCCAAATCCAACTCCTTTAATCAAACCAAAGAGTCCTGATCACTTACGTAATCAATTCTTTAGTAAAATTGGTATTCAAGTCCCAGATAACAGATTTAAGAACACTAATAATAATGTTTAAAAAATTAAATTTCACCATTATTATTATTATTACATCATTTAATCAATTTCAACTCCTTTTTTAAATTTTAATAATATTTATTAATTAAATTTAAAAAAATCAAGACTAAAAAAAACTAAAAAAAAAAAACTAAAAAAAAAAAAAAAACTAAAAAAAGAAAAAACTAAAAGAAAAAAAACACCTTTGTGATATTAAAAAAAAAGAAAAGAAAAAAGTATCATATTTCTATATAAGAAATAAACTTTTTTTTTTTAATATATTTTAAAAAATAAATAAATAAATATTATATTTATAAATTTTATCAAAAAAAAAAAAAAAACAATTATTATTTACTATTTATTTTTCAATTTCATTTTCTTATTTTATAAACTTTATTTAAAAGATTTATTATTTATTTTATTCAATTTTAGTTTTATAAAAAATAATAAAAAAATAAATAGTTATTTTATTTTTATTTATTTTCATTTATTTTAATTTTATTTTATATTTTTACAAATCCCAATCGATTTATTATTTTTTTTATTTAAATAATTTCTTTATTTGATTTATATATCTTTTCTTTTTTTTCTTTTTTCCTTTTTTTTTTTTTTTTTGACAGTTGGTATTTTTAAATTTTATTATTGAAATTTTAAAATAGTCACTTTTTTAATCCCACCACATGTTTTTTTCATATCAAAAAATTTTTATCATTACTTTTTTAAAATTTTTTTTTTGCGCTAATATTTAAAAATAAAAAAAAATAAAAATTTAATTATTTTTAATTTTTTTTTATTTTTTAAAATTTTTTTTTTTAAAAAATAACACACATTCTAGTTTTTGAAAAATTATAAATTTATTTTTTTCATTTTTTATTTTCATTAACTTTTTTTTTAAAACAAGATTATAAAGGTATATATTATATTAACATAAAAAGAAATATTTGATTGTAAAAAACAATTTTATTAATTATTTTTAAAAATAATATTTATTTCATAGCTTTTATATATTTTTATATATTTTTTCAAATTTATTAAATAATTCAAAATGTCAAGTGCTCAATCAAGAGGTGGTAAAACCGGTGGTAAAGTTGGTGGTAAAGTTGGTGCTAAACGTCATAAGAAAGCCCAAAAAGAACACATCAACGGTATTACCAAACCAGCTATTCGTCGTTTAGCTCGTAGAGGTGGTGTCAAACGTATTTCATTCCCAATCTACGAAGAAACTCGTAACGTCTTACGTACTTTCTTAACCAACGTCATTCGTGATTCAGTTGCCTATACTGAACATGCTGGTCGTCGTACCGTTACTGCCATGGACGTTGTCTATGCTCTCAAGAGACAAGGTAGAACTTTATATGGTTTCAACTCTTAAACTTGTATTTCTCTTCCTTATATAGCAGACCGTCGAGTTTTAAAAATCAAAGGTGTTTTTCAACACCATCCAAAATATCAAAACATTTATAAAAATTTATTTAAATTACTTCTCAAAAAGAATTCGACTAACAATCATTTATTTATTTTATACTAATCCCTTTTATATTGAACCTAAATAAAATTCCTTAATAAGATTTTTAAATTTTATTTTTAAATCTTTAATATTTTGTTTATTTTTTTTTTTACAAATTGTAATATTTTTTGCATTTGTTAATTCTTTCTTATTTGACAATATTTTTATTTTAATTCAAATATTCCTTACTAAAATTTTTTTTTATTTGGTAAGTTTATAAAATTTTTTTTTTTTTTATATTATTTAAAAAAATATTTTATGCTATTTTTGGAACATCTCAAATTCACAGATTAAAAAATCAGAATGGTAATCAATGGGATAAAAAACAAGAGCAGAAGCACAAAAAAGTATACATGCGAAATATCAGAGCAAAAGAAAGTGATTATAAAACGAAATATTTACAACCTACTAACAACTAGAGGAAAGATATAGATAAAATATAAAAACAAATCAAACCATTTTACAACTCACATATCAAATAAAGAAGATATACAGAGATTTAATTGACATAAAATAGAAAAATAATTTTTTTTTTTTTTTTTATTGTACACCTAAAAATCATCTTTTTTATAAAAAAAAAAAAAATAAAAAAAAAAAAATAAAAATTTCTGGTTTGAATAAAAAATATTAAATATTATTTAATAAAATTACGATTAAAGGTTTTTTTTTATAATTAAAAATACACGATTAATATGAAGGATTTTTTCGATCCTAAAATTTTAGGAAAAAGGATCATTAGAAAATATAGGATCAATCCTAGTTTTAAACCTCGATCCAGAGCTATAAAAAAACAATAAATAAAATAAAGTGTATGAAAAAAAAAAAAATATATGAATTGTTTGCACTGAGCAGGAATAAGCGGAAAGGAATAGACTGATTGAAAAATTGAAGCTTGATTTTGATTTTGTTTGAATTTTAAAATAAATTTTTTTTATTTATCCATATATAATCCAATTAATTATATATTGGGATAAATAAAAAATTATTGGTGAATATAAAATTATTAATTACACCTCGAACCACAAATTTTTTTTTCTGAATATTCTATCATTTTTTTTCATATTTATGTAATTTTTACATTTTTTACCATTTTTTTACATAAAATTACATAAATATGACAAAAAATGATAGAATATTCAGAATAAAAAAGTTTGTGGTTCGTGGTGTATTAATAATTTATAATAAAAAAAAAAAAAAATTAAAATAGAAATGTGTATAAATATTATAAAAATTATATTTTTATTTTTTATTTGAACATATTTTCAGTTTATTATCATTTTAAATTGGGTGTTTAGACTTAATATATTATTTTATTTTAGCTTATAAATGATTGTAATATTCTTTCATAATTTCTTTTGGTGTGAACCAAGTATATAATTTATTTCTAAAAGTTGTTTTGGATTTTGCCTCTTGTAGTCAATTAATACTGTTTTTAAAAATAGATATAGTTTATTAATTTCTATTAATTTTTGTGTGGAATTTTAAATAAAAAATTTAACCTCATAATGAGCACAATTCATTGTGGTTGGAACACTAATTATTTTTTAATTTTTTTTATAAGTAAATTTAAATTTATAATTCCTTTTTTTTTTTATTGGTGATTGACTGTTGTTTTGGTTTTTATTTATGTTTTATTAAAAATATTTTTATATTTGAATTATAAGAGGTTTATTTTATTGTGATATTTACAAACTTTTCGGTATCTATTCGAAAATTTTTGCTAGAAATGGTTTTTTTCAGTTTTTTAAAAAGATATTCTTCCCATTCTTCAGGGATTGTATCAAATTACACTATTTTATCACTATGTGATATAACAACAATTCTAAAATCAATTCAAATTTATTGTAATAATCATAAACATTTATCACATTTATTAGAAAAAGATAAAAATATATTATTAACAGCTATATTACATCATTTTTCATAAAATCCGGCTTTGGCGCAATGGTAGCGCGATTGACTGTAGTAATTATCTGTTATCAATCGGTTGCTAGTTCGAGTCTGGCAAGCCGGAATCTTTTTTGCCGGTAAAATCTTCCAGGAGATCAACCGAACCTTACAGGGGGAGCAATGGAAGCCAAGTGGTCGAACGAATTTCCTACAGGTTACCCCTCCGGGTACGAAACCCTACTGAGACTGGGTTTGTTATGGATGTTAGATGTACCCGAAAACATGTTTCTTTAAAAACTTTGAATTAATCAGTACATACAAAATCCCAGAAGGTTGCAAATCCGTTGGAGAAATAAATATGGATTACAACAACACCAGATTTCACAAATCACACTTCCAATGGAACTATAAAGCAATAGATTTCGACTTAACTAGATGTTTCGCTAATAGAAATGCCATAGCCCAGGTATTTCATCAAGTTTGGATTTGGTTATGTAAAGAGTTATATGACGATCAAGAAAATACAATAAAAGAACTCGATTATAAGAACCTAACCTCAAAATGGACTAAACTAGCTACTTTAGAATACTTAAAAGGTTTAAAAAACATCAAGGAAAGACAAGCTAAACAACCACAAACAATTAGCAACATCAATGAAGAATATAGAAAATTCAAAAGAATAATAGCAAGAGCATACTTCATCAGCACCAAATCTTTACCAAATATCAACAGTTTAGAATATTTTCTTTAAAAACTTTATAAAAAACATTAAATAAAATTTTACTGATTAATTTAAAGCATTTGCTTTTAATTATCTTCACTTTTAAAAAAAAAAAAAAAAAAAAAAAAAAAAAAAAAAAAAAAAAAAAAATTAATCAGCAAAATTTTATTTAATGTTTTTTTTTAATTTTAAAAAAAAAAAAAAAAAAAAAGAATTTTATACTATTATCAATTAGTTCAACTTCCCAAACACCAAATTATTCAATACAAACACTCAAATCAATACTTTTATTTGTTCTTTTATTATAAAAAAGAGTAAATTTTTTTTTTTTAAAGATATAATTTAAATAAATTGTATTTAATTTAATTGAAATTTTAAGAAGAGATATTGATTTGAGTGTTTGTATTGAATAATTTGTTATTAATTATTTATTTATTACTGATTAAATCTTTATCAATTTCATTTTGTATTTAAATAAGAAAAAAAATTAAAAATAATTTTAGGTTTATAGGATTAAAAAAAAAATTTATATTTTTATTAATAACTTTTTAGATAGTTGAATAATTTTATTTAGATTTATAGGTTGGTGTATTATTCTTTAAATAAAGACTTTATTTGATTTTTAAATATATACATTTATTTTTTAATTAAAATTAATTAATTAATTGATTAAAAAAAAAAATTTGTTATTATGCTATTATCTATGTTATTATCTATGTTATCATTTGTAACCATTATTATTATCTATGTTTTTATCTATGTTTTTATCTATATTATTATCTTTATTATTATCTATATTATTTTTATCTATATTATAATTATCTATTCTTTTATTATTTTAAATTACTTGGCATTAAAATTTTTGATAATATAGTTTCATTTTCGAATGATAGTTCATTCATTGATGTGTTGCTAAGAGTTGCAAAAGCATATTGAAAAGCAGCTTTAACACGAGAAAAATTAAAAGAGCCTGCTGCCACATTTCTACCAGGGACAAAAGGATCGGCAACTACTAAATAGAAGGGATTATGATTACTATAGAAATTATCTTGTTGTGGGGGTGGTTGATTAAATGTTACACCATTTTCATTATTATTGTTGCTATTTAAAAGATATTGTGAACCGATAGGATCTTCTTTAGTAATTGGAAATGTATAATGGCCCTCATCAATAGAAATACCAGTCATTTGATAATTGAAATTTACACCATAATATTCTAAAAATCTCATTAAAGCACAACCTATATTAAGACCTGAAATTTGATCGGCATCTTCGCACATACACGGCTTTGCTTTAAGGGTAGGTTGGTTACTTTGATTAATTATTGGGATATTTGATGCTAAAACTTCAATTGGTGGAGTAGCAGTATTGTTGGTAGTTGTATTACTATTATTATTATTATTATTCGTATTATTTGTATTATTTGCTTTTCTTGGGCAATGTTCATTATTTTTTAAAAAACTAATTAACATTAAAACCAAACAATATGAACTTAAACCACCAGTATAGGTATTGTTTAAGCCTCTTTCTCTAAGGAACCATTTTAAAACTATTGCTAAAGGATATAAACCAACTACATCTTTGACACAATCAGCGATTAAATCACGAGCGGCAATACCAGTATGAATCGAAGTTGGAGATTCTCTAAATGAAATGTCAACTGATATATTTTCGGTGGTTACCAATTTGATGACAGGTATTTTGGCTGATGGTATACAAACCATTGAAAGAATGAAACCATCTAAATCATTTCTAATTTGCTTTTCCAAAACCTTTAAAAGAAATTGCGCATTTTTTGGCTTGATAGACATGTTATTACCATAATTTACAACGATATCGATGTCACTACTGGGCAACCATAATCCAGTCATAAAGCTACCAAATAAATCTAAATCTGCATGAGACCATAATTTCTTAACAACGGCTCTAATCCAACCAATAACTTGATGACAACTTTGAACATGTGGATAAGTTCTTTCACCAACATCTGATACAAAATCCAAAATCTCTTGATGTAATTTAATTGAAAATCTGGGATGTGGATAGGGTAAAGGTGGATCATCCCAAGGTAATAAAAATGCTTGTAAATTTGTAAATGGTATAACTTGTCTAAATGTTTGGATTTGATTAAAAAATTTATTATGTCTCCAATCTTTATATTTATCGATCTGAAGTGATGATTGTGGTTGATGTTGTTGGTGTGGTTGATGTTGTTGGTGTGATTGATGCGATTGTTGTGGTTGTTGTTGGTTATAATTTGGTTTATGATAGCTTTTTTGATATGATTGTTGGTATTGGTTGTTTTGTAATTTCGAAGGTGGTTGGAAAACTGAACTTGTTGCATGAAGGCTGCTAGCGGATTTAGATTTTAATATATTTCTATTATTTTCATTCTTTCCTGAACTATTTATATTACTATTATTTTTAGATTCATCTATACCACTATTATTTTGTTTGTCTGCATCACTATTGTTAATATTACTGTTATTATTGTTATTGTTACTAATATTACTATTATTGTCATTAATATTGTTATCAATATCATTATCATTTTTATAATTTAATTGACTTGATTGGTTTTCAAAAAATTGTCTTTTGCTTGAAACATTACCAGCAGAAGTAGGTGAGATGTTACCGCCCCTTGGTGAAAGTTGTTGGGGTGAAGGAATTCTGGATAACCTATTGGGTGAATTAAGAGTAGATTGATGAATTAAAATAGGTGATGATGGTGATGTTGGTGATGCAAAGAAATTAAATAATTGATTTTGTTGAGGTGATTGTGATTGTTTTTGGTTATTATTATTGCTATTGCTATTATTAATATTATTGTTATTTGGTAATGAAATATTCTCAATGTTTTTAGTTTGAATTGGTGCTGCGTTAGTTGTTGTTGAAGATGACAATAAAGTATTTGGTATATTTTCTAAACTTTGATTTAGTTTCAAGCCCTCTCTATTTGGTGATTTAACCTTGGTGTCATGATGGCTGTCATCAATTGATATATTAAATTGCTTTGAAATTTGTTTGCTTAAATCTTGAATAAATGAATTATCTTCATCTGAAGATTGGTCGTCCTCAGATCCTTCTGTGCATGATTCATCGTTTGATTCATCAGAATTATCTTCATCCTCATAATCATCATTATAACTATATTTATGATTACTGTTATTGTTACCAATACCGTTATTATTATTGCAATTTTTGCTATTACTATTATTATTAATACTTAATTTTGTTGTAGAGGACGAGGATGGTGAAATTGGTGTTGATGTTGTAGATGAAGAAGCCAAAGCCGATGTTGCTACTGTTGTATTTGATGAAGATGAAGAAGACTTGGCATTCATTAACGGAGTTCTTTGTTCACATGTACTATTAGCCCGATTTTTCGATGTTATTTTATTTGAACTGCTTTTCTTTTTAGTACTAGATTTATTACCACTATTATTATTTTTTGGTTTATTTGAAATGTTATTAACATTATTATTTCTATTATTGTTATTATTATTATTGTTATTATTATTATTTTGAATTAAATCGCCTTCAGATAACATACTAACACCATCTTCATCTTCTGTAGTACTAAGATAAGGTATACCATTTTTAATTGAGGGTGGGGTGTCCATCGGTAATGAATGTCTACGTGGACGAGTTTGAATTGACTCTTGTTCTGTATCGGAGTTTGATGCTTTTTCTTGATTTGATTCATTTGAGTTTCTACTATTGTTATTTGATTTTTTTTTACGTTTTTTTCTTATTGAAGTATTCCCTGGGTTGCTGTTACCACTATTTATTGTTGTAGATGATGAGCTTGAAGGTCTACTACCACCGCCACTACGTTCATTTTGAGATTGAGAAGAATCCGATGACTCATTTAAAGATTTATTTGAATTACAACCCTCTTTAGCCGAACTTGTAGGAGTTTGCTGTTTTTTCTTTTTCTTTGATTTAACGGGAGTACTATTGCCACTGGAATTTAAAGAACTACCATTTGAATTATTACCGCTATAATTTCTAGATTTTCTTCCTGCTCTACTGCTGCTTTCTTCAGCATTAATAAGATCCATTGATAAACTTTCTGAATAAAAATTTTGAAGTTGTGCCCCAATTTGACGCATTACCATATCAACTGTACTGCCAGCTCTTTCTAATGGAGAAAAGCATAAAAACTCAATCAATTTGATTGGGTTTTGAACTAAATAGTCTTCAAAAATTGAACTGATCCCATTTAAACTTTCTGGCGACTCTGAAAGTGAACTTGACGCTAACACTTGCTGACCATGGTGATGTCTTCTGGTTACTGCTGCTAATTTAGATACTGTTGTTGGTGGTAATGGTGGTATATTTCCTGATGTTGGTAATGAATTTATTGACTTTATATTTTTTTCATTTGATAATATAGAGTTAATTGAGCTATTTAAATTATCATTATTTTTATTATTATTATCAATATTATTGGATGATGATATTATTGGTGATGTAATAGGTGACTTAAAATCCTCCATTAGTTCACCTAATTTTTCCATAAAATCTAAATCTACTTTTTCTGGAGTTTCATTTAATGATTGAATAACTGATAATAAAAGATTGCCCATTTTAGTCATTGCATATTTTTTCCGATTATCTATGGTCATCTGTTTTGACCAAAACTCTTTCAAATTACTCTTTCTTGAATCCAATAACTTAAAAATTGGTTTTGTAATCTTTTGTTTATTTGTTTGATCTTTTCTTCCATCCAATTTATGGTTCTCCCAAAACTGAGTCCAAATTAATGATTCAAACCATGATGCTATAAATTCGCCGAGTGAAAAAAAACTTTTAGAAATAAACCATTTTGGTTGTTCACACCTCCAATTATTTTGTGAATCTTTAATTAAATGGCATGGTACTTGTAAAAAACCGCCCTAAAAATAAAAAATTTAAAAATAAAATTATATTAATATTATTATTTAATTATTAAATTAAACTGTTGACTATTTACCTGGCTTAATTGAGTTAATAAATGTATAAGCTCTGTATTTGATATAGAATTACTTTCAATCGTAAATGTATCTAATCTAGTTCTAGTATCACACAATCTAATTAATTTAACAATCCTAAAAAAAAAAAAAATAACCAATTAATATTTATTATTTATTATTAATTATTAATTATTAATTTAATTACCTTTTTTCTTCTTCAACTTTTCGTTCAGGTAAAAATGGTTGTAAATTTTCAAAATGATGAATTGATTTATCGTTTGTAAGTCTAAATTCTAATTTAAATTTTCTTAATAAGTCACTGGGCAATTTATTATTATCAATCTCTATATCACTATTATTACTATTATTATTGTTACTGGAGAGGAAACTATTTGAATTACCAATGCTGCCGCTACTATGACTTTTTCTAGATTTTAATTTATTGCTGCTTTCTTTATTATTGCCACCACCGTTACTATGACCAAATATATCTTCAAAACTAGGCATGCCCGGTATATCTGCAGATTCATCAAAAAAATACCCATCTTGAAAATTCCATTCTGAATACATTGCCCTAAGTTTGTCGCATTCGGTTTTATTACAGTCAGTTAAAATAGTTTCCAACTCTTCATGATTTAATGACAATATCCAATTATTGACTTGTTTTTTAAAATCCATTCTTTATTGATGTTAACTATTATGATTATTATTATTATTACTATCTAATGTTATTCTTTTTTATTGTTGATTGTTGGTTTGTTTTTTGTATATATAAAAAACTGAGAAAAGAAAAGGAAACCCTGCACTAATGGAATATTAGTGTTATATACTATTTACAAAGGGCTCTATTCTTTCTTTGATGTTATTATTGCAATCTATTATTGTTACTATTAATGCTTTAAATACTATATGATTGATTTTATTAAATTAAAATATTTGAATTTGTTATTAAACAATAATATTATTCCCCTAAACTATTTAAAACTATATATTACTGGCTATTATTTATTTAATTTATATTCTTTTGATATACTATATAAAATTTATCATCTAAAGTATGTATATATAATTTATATAAACCCTCTTTATTTATATATTATTTTCTTATTAGATTTGAAGAAGAAAAAATAAAAAAAATGTGAAAATAAAAAAAATTAATTTTAAAAAAATTAAAAAAAAAATTTTAAAAAAATATTGATTATTTTTATTATTATTATTAAAGAAAATAAATATATTGCTATTACAGTATAAATATATAAATGTATAAATATTATTTTAATTTTTTTCAAAATTTTTTATAAATTGAAAAAAAAAAAAAAAAAAAAAAAAAAAAAAAAATATAAATAAAATTAAATTTTTTTTTTTTTTTAATTTTTTAAATTTTTTTTTTTTTTTTTTTTCACATTTTATTTAAATAAAAAAATATATATAAAATTAATTATAAATAGGGATGATCTTTCTATTAATAGAAATATTTGATTCTCTTTTGATATTTGTTATAATGGAAAGAAAAAAAAAAAAATTAAAAATAAATTAAAAATTAAATTGGTAAATAAACTTTTTAAAAAGTTAATAAATACCCCCATTTTTGAACTTTTATTATAATAATTTTTTTTTTTCATGACCATAGCATTACTAGAAAATGACTCGTGCATATCCAAAACTATTTAATAGAAAATAAATGAACATAAATAACTATAACTAAATAAAGATAAAACTAAATGAGGTTTATTATTCAAAATTTAAATAGTACATTGAGCATTTTATTTTAGTTTTTTTTTTTTTTTTTTGGGTTTTTTTTTGGGTTTTTTTTTTTGATGATCTGAACTAACCAAATAATTTGTTGCTGCAACCTTTGCAATATGGCTTACCGTTGTTTGCAGTATATGATCCACCAGCTAATGGGTTCATACAAAAAGCACAAACAAAATGTTCTGGATGCCATTTTTTATCGAGAGCATCAACACAACGTCCAGAAACAGCTTTACCACAACCTGAGCAAACTGAGCCAGCTTGTTGATGATAATGAATATCGCAGTATGGTTTACCACCATATTCAAAGAATTGACCGTTGGTGAAAGATTTTTGACAATATTGACAAACGAAATGTTCTGGATGCCATTGAGTACCAAGAGCATTGATACATTCACCACGAATTGGTTGGTTGCAACCACCACAACGGACGGCAAAAGTACTGTAGAAATCAGCCTCACAATATGGACGGCCATCACGTTCAAAGAAGTTACCACCATCGAATGGTTTTAAACATTGAGTACAAACAAAGTGGTGTACATGCCATTTTTTACCTAAAGCAGTGATACAACGATCAGAGATTGGTTCATCACAGTGAGCACAACGGGCACAGAATAATTCTTGATAACATTTTTCGCAATGTGGCATGCTTTCTTGTTCGTAATAGTTTCTGGTACCAAGTGGGTTTTGACAATTGTGACAACAGAAATGTTCTGGGTGATAGAATTTACCCATGGCTTGGATGGTTTCACCAAAGATGGGTTTACGACAACCACCACAAGTACCACGTGCAGTTGGTCCGCTTGAGTCGATATCTTTAACTTGTGAGGTAAGATTAGTTAATAAATTATCTAAATCATCACCATGTAAAACCTTTGGTCCATTTGATGGTTGTTGGCCATTATTATTATTGTTTGATGGTTGTTGTTGTCTACCAATGTTAATTTGAGTTGTGACTGTGGTTGTGGAGGTTGATGGACGATTATTATTATAATTATTTTGTGGGACTGGTTGTGGAACAACAGTTTTAACGGTATTATTGTTGCTTGGGCTGAGACCTTTAAGAAGCTCATCTAAATCCTCGCTTGATGGAGTGGCAGTTGCAGTTGCAGTTGCAGCAAATGGTCTGTGTTGTGGTGGTGGGGATGAGTTTTGTGTATTAGTATTTTCTAAAGAGGCTTTTGATTGAACCAATGGTTTTTTAACAATAACAGTTGCGGTTGAAGTAACTTTTTGACCTGAATTGTTGTTATTAACTGGTGAAGCGGTTTGACGAGTTAAAGTTGGTGATGAGTTTGATGATGCTATATGTTCTTCTGGTGTAGATGGAACTGCTTTGAGTGCTGTTGAAATTGATGTATTTAATGACTCCATTAATTCATCTAAATCATCGATTCCGTCAATTTGTGGTTGTGGTTGTGGTTGGTGTGATGTGGATACTGAAAAACTGGCAGTTGTAGTAGTATTATTTACAGGAGTTGCTAATTTTGGTGCTGGTGTACTAATGGTTTGGGCAGTTTGTGGTTGGGCATCTAACTCTTCAATAATTGATTGAATTTCATTTTGGATATCGTTAGCTTCATAACTATTTTTATTTGATATACTTGATGGTCCTGAATTGGTTGGTGTTATTGATTTGGTGGTGCTCTTTGGTCTACCTAAATCTGCTAATAAAAGATCTAAATCATCCATATTTAAACCTTTAGTTGCCATTTTATTTAATTATTGTTATTATTTTTTTAAAAAAAAAAAAAATTAATATATTATTATTTTGAGATAAATTTGTGAAACAAAAAATTTATTATTAATTTTTTATAAGTAATAAAGAGAGAAAAAAAAAAAAAAAAAAAAAAGAAACAGAAAAATGATAAAAAAAAAATTAAAAAAATAATATTTTAAATTATTATGTTTGTTTATTTTGGGATAGAGTGGTTATTTTTTTTTTTTTGTTTTATTTATATTAATAAAGATATACGATGCTGCTTTCTTTTTTTCTGTTTATTTATCCTTTTTTTTTTTATAAACCCACATAAAAATAATTCAAAAAATTTGGTTTTGTTTTTTTTTTTTCTATTTTCTGGGTGATGTGTGATGTGTGATGTGGTTGATTGGGGGTATTATATATTTTTACATGTGTGATAATTTTTATCTATACATATATATTTTCTATTATATATATTTTCTAAATATAACTGTTTTTGTGTGTGTGAAAATTGAGTGTGGGCAAGCAAAATCAAATCAAATATTTTTTTCATATAAAACTATTGAAATGGTAAACACAAATATGTACAATTATTATAAATAATATTATTATTTGACACACACAATTATGATTATAGATTAAATTTGATTATATAGAGAATGTTCCATTTTGAAAAACAAGGAAAAATAGATCTTTATTATTTTTTATTTATAATTTATAATTTATTTATTTAGTTATTTATTTATTTGGTTGATGCTTGTTGTTATTGCTTTGTAGTCATATGAACTGATTATTACTATTCTCTTAATTTCTTTAAATGTAAATCTTCATTTCATTTATTTTAAAAAAGATCTCTGATTTCTTTATTCGATTTTCTATAAAATTGTGAATTTTAAAATGAATTGTTTTCTTACTTTTTTTTTAGAATTTTGGTTTATATATAAAATAAATAAATAAATAAATAAAAATAAAAAAACAAATATTAATAAATATTTGTTGCTATAATACAAGTTTTATAAGAAAAAAAAAAAATTAAAAAAAATAAAAAAAAATTTTATTTTAAAAAAATTTATAAAAAAATAATTTTTTTTTTTTTTTTTTTTTTTTTTTTAAATTTTTTTTATTTGAATAACAACCAACTTATAAGTTACCCTTTATAATTATTTTTTTTATTTGAATAACCGAACCAATTTTACCTTTACTATTGGCTTTTTTTCTTTTTTTGATTTCTTTTTCGTATTTTGATTTAATTTTTTACTATTTAATTTTATTTAAGTTTCTTTTTAAATTTATTTTAATAAAAATAGCCATTAAATATGCACCTTTATTATTTGTCTATTTATGATTATAAGTATAGCTATCATTTGATAACTCCAATTTTTTTAGTTAAAAATAATTGTACATTTGACATAATTTGTGAATTGGAAAAAACGATATTAAATTCATATTTATATTTCTGCAATACACAAATTTTCAAAATTATACATTTAATACAATTATTATAACCGCTATCATTTTTAGATTGTTTAGACACTCTCCAGTGTAATCTGGACCAATAGATGTAATTATTTAATCAGTGGGGCCACCTAAAAGAATTTTAACAAAATTCAAAAAATAGTATGGGCTTGATACAATAAATAGAACATTGATAGAGAAACCACAATTACAACACGTATTATATTATAATTATATAATAATAATTATAATATTACCAAAAGTAAAATTTAAATTCAAAAAAAAAAGATGAAATTAGAAAAATTTTCATTTTTTAATTTTTTTAAAAATCGGAACCAGATCCAATAAATAAACAATAATAATATAAATTTTCAAATACCAAACAATCGATTTACTTTTTGGTATTATCTTTGCACTATACTATTTTTATTGAGAATTGAAATAGGACTCTGGTTTATTGATTTAAAGATAGACAGAATTTGATTTAAGCAATCATTATGAAAGAAAGATTTGATAAAATAAATTGTGTTTTAAAATAAATTATTATAAAAAACATTTTTTATTTTTTCCAAAATCTTATAAATTAGAAGAGGTGTCTTATTTTTTTGAATTTTTGAATTTTTTTTTTTTTTTTTTATGAATTTAAAATTTATTTTTTTTTTTTTTAAAATTTGTTATTTTTTTTTTTTTATTTTTTTTTTTTATATTTTTATATTTTTATATTTTTATATTTTTATTTAAAAGTTTTTTTTTATATAGACACATAATTTATTTTTATTTCATTTTATTTTAATAAATATATCAAAATAAAATTAAATAATAAAATAAGAATGAGTAATACAAACAATAACAGTAATAACAAAAAGGATAACAAAGAAGACAATAAGGCATATGGTCTTTGGGAAGAAATGGATGATGATAGCCATGAGGAAATGTTTAATCATGTAATCCAAAAGACAACTAAATTTATTGATGATGATGATGATGAAACAGGTGATACATGGGATAATTTATATGCTAAACATATTACCACTCCTGATGAAACAGAACAACCAGAACAACCAAAGCAACAACAATCACAACAACCAGAACAACAACAATCACAACAAATTTCATATGCATCACAAGTACAAACATCAAATAATAGTGATGACAGTTCATCAAGAAGAGAGGGTAGTTCTAGAGGTTCAAGAAGAAAAGCTGGTGAAAAAAGAAATGAAACTGAACATAAAACAACTTCTTCAAATGATGACCATGATAACTTGATTCAAGAGGAATTTACTATGATTGAGTCACCATCATCACCAGTTGAAATTAGCAATGAAGATGATTTCCCAACTTTATCAACAGGTGGAAAGAGAAAAACCAAATCAAATTCATCATCACCAACTCCATCATCACCATCCATCACAACCAACGACAATACCTCATCAAATACACCAAAACAATCATGGAGTGAATTATTAAAGCATGCTAAAGAAGATACACCATCAAGCTCATCACCTTTATCAAAAGACAGTAACAACAATAATAATAGCTATGATGATAGCGATAGTGATAGTTTGGGTGGATTTGAACCACCAGCACCATTTATTCCACCAACATCAACTTCAAACAGTACAGCAGTAACAGAAGAGCTTGTTCAAGTTACCTACACAGACGAAAAAGATTTCATTGGTGAGGTTAAAACTGATACACAAATTAATATTAAACCAAAAACCAAAGCAGTACCATTCCAAAATACACTTTCATTAAAAGCCAAAGCTAAACAACAAAAAAAACAAGCTAAACAATCATCACCATCATCACCATCAACACCAACAACAACAACAGCAAAAACATCAACTTCATCTTCATCATCATCAAACACACTTAAAAATAATCCATATGCTGCATTAGAAGAGGAAGAAAGAATTCTTCAATCTGTATTAAAAGAATCACTTCAAACAAGCAATGTTAAATCTAGCCCATCTTCATCATCAAGCTCAAACAACACAACCACCAATACCTCAAACAAAAACAATAATAACCCATCCTCATCTAAAGTTAATACTACTACCAATAGTAAACCACAACAACAAACACAACCATCACAAAACAATGACAATAAATCATCAAAATCAAATGTAACATCACAAAAATCAAACAAACCAAACAAACCAACCACTACAACCACCACTGCCACTACTAGTAATACTACTTCTTCAAGCAAAAAGAATAAAAATAAAAATAAAAATGAATCAACTAATAGTTCCAAATCAAACAGCACCCAATCAACAGAACCAAGAGATGTTGAAGGCAATCAATTTAAGACACTTACTATTGTTTTAGTAGCAGTAGTTATCTTCTTTATTGCTTTCAAACTTCCAACTTTATTAAAATCAGCCAACGGTAATCAATAAACAAATATCATAAAAATAGTAATAACACCAACACAATATAGAACTCCCACTAATTTGTTAAAATTATATAAAAATAAAATAAAAAAATACTACATTGTTTCTTTTAATTAAATATATTACAATATACATTTATAATATAATATGTTTAAAATATACTTTATTATATTATAATTAAAATAGTTATTACTATTATTATTATTATTATTGTTTTAAAAGTTTTATGTTGAGAATATTTTGAAATTGAGTTACTTTTTCCATTATCCCCACGCCATAGACTATCTCTTGGACTCTTTTTATTTTTTAAAAAGTATGGTTCATCTCTTAGCATATTATCCCACCAACCTGCACTTCCAAACATTAATTCGGAATAACCACACTCCTCATTGTGTACCACAATTGATCCACTTGAAAACTTTACAATCTGTTCATCATCTTTACAATATCTGATTCCGGTGTGAGATAGATCGCATTCAATATATGCAATGTTTTTATAACAATAATTCTTTTTATATATAGTCAATCCCAATGGAACATCATCCCCCACTAAATAAAATCTAAAGTAAAAATAAATTAATATTATTTATAAATTTTCAATTCTATATTATCTAGTATATAATTACCCCTCGTTAAAAGTACAATAGTTTCTTTCGTCATAGTTAATTTTTTTGTATACTAATTTATTACTTATTCCAAATTTCTCTTCTTTTATACATTGGCCCACTTGAAAATAGGTTCTACATGAATCATTGTCACAAAAACAATTTGACCATACACAACTGGCATTATTTTTAATTAAATCTGGGTTTGTTGCACTACAGTCCATATTTCTATAATGTTCATCCCAAACAGTTTGAAATGCTTTTTTTTATAAAGAATAATAGATAATTAGTTTTTGAAATTTTTATAAAATAAAAAAAAAAATACCTACTCCAATTTCTATTATGATACATTAAAGCTCTATGAATTTTTACTTCACCTGAACAATCATCGCTATCGTAGGTTTCCATAATAAATACTTTGCCATTAAAAAAGGCATTTACATTATTAATTGCTAAAATTACAAAAATTAAAAAAACTATTAATTTATACATTTTAATATAAATCAATCTATTTAAATAAAAGATTAAACTAATAAAACAAATAATTAAAAATAAATAATTGATTAGGTTGATTTATAATTTAAAATACATATTATTTTATAAATTAATTAATTTATTATAAAATAAATAAAAAAAATTAAAAAAAAAAAAAAAAAAAGTATATTATAAAAAATAATTTGTGATTTAAAATAACAAAATAACACTTGTGTTTCTTTATTTATAAATAATAAATTAAATGAAAGAAAATAAAAAATAAAAAATTAAATTTAAATTATTTTAAATTTAATATTTTTTAAATTAATTGAGTTTCTACATGATTCAGCTATTCACATTAGTGATTTTTTTTTTTTAAAGTTCTTAACCAAAAATAATATTAAAAATTTGTTAACAGTAAAATTGATAATATAATTATTTTAAAAACCGAATAATCATTTTAAAACATGTTTTTTTAGTGTGTGAGTATGTGTGGTACTTTGTGCATTGTGTTAATGATTTGTGTTTATTATATGTAAAATTTAAATATAGGTGTGAGTGTGTTGATTTGTGTGTTTTTTTTTTTTTTTCAATAATAATATAAGGGGGTGATTATTTATCTTTGTACCAAAGATATAATTTATTTTAAATTTATATATATATTATTCTTAATGATCACAAAATATATTTAATTACATATTGATTAAATAAATTTATTAACTTTCCCAAATTTAATTTTTAAATTTCCAAAAAAAACAATACATTACACTAATTTTTGGAGAATGTTTTTTATTTGAAAAAAATAAACAATTTATATACAAATAATTAATATAAATAAATGTATTAATTTATATTGTAGTTTTTAGGTATAGTTTATATAACTCGGATTTTTGAGGGAAAATAAAAAATAAAAATCCATAATTAAAATAATAAGTTATTACTAAATCTTTTCCCATATTAATTTTATATGGGAAAAAAAAAAGATTTTTATTTTTTTTTTTATTTTTTTTTTTATATTTTAAAAACAAAGCAAAATTTGATTTTTTGATTTTTTATTTTTAATTTTTTTTTATTTATTTTTAAAACAAAAATAAAAACATATAAATATAAATGAAACCTAAAACAGCTAGAATTATAACACTAATTTATCAGATTTTTTCAATACTGGGAGAGATAATTATACTATTATTAACACCAGAAACAGAAGAACAATTAATATCATCTGCAAACTCATCACCCATTTCAACACCACCACCACAACCTTTAAAAGTATTATTAAACGATTCACAAATTACAAAAGAATCTATTGAAGCAATTGAAATTGCACAAAGACTAAATGTAGCGATCAGTAGTGCTGTTTCTGCAAATGCATTATCATCTTATAATTATGAAATTAGCAAAGAATTACAAAAAAGAAAACTATCCAAAGGAAAAATAGTGGTAGTAACTTTAGATGGTGGTGGCATTAGAGGTATTGTTACCTTAACAATGCTTATGGAATTGGAAAAGCTTCTAGGATTTGATATTATCGACAAATCATCATTGATTGGTGGTACATCTACTGGATCCATTATTGCATTGGGTCGTTCAAAAGGATTACCATATTCTGAAATTTTAGATATCTATAAGAACTTTGGAAAAGTTATTTTCAAAGCACCAGTAATGAACTTTTTTGTAGCATCCACTTTGGCCAACTCTGATAAAAAGAAAGAGGAATTACAAAAAGTATTTGGTAATACCCAATTAGGTGACTTTTGTCAACATAAGAAGGTATTTGTAGTTGTATCCAAAGTTAAATCACACACTGGATCACCACTAACAACCTCACAGCAACAGCAACAGCAACAACAAACTCAAGATTTCAAACAAAAAACAATTTCAAATTATAGTAAAAAATGGGAAACAGTGCAAGTTGCTGATGCTTTGAATGCATCTTCTGCTGCACCAATATTCTTTAAACCAGTCGAAATTTTAGGCGAAAAATATGTAGATGGTGGTATAAACTATCAAAACAACCCTGTATTAATAGCCCATAAAGAATGTCAAAAACTTTTTGGCGATAAACATGATTATGTATTCATCTCATTAGGCACTGGTTACTATGACTCGTCTTCGGCCCCAACCGTAAACTCAACCAATAGACTAGTATCACAAGCCCAAGAAACATTTAAGAATGCTGTAAATCTTGTCAAAAATGCAGCATTATCAATTGGTGATAGTGAAACTGCTCATCAAATTATGCTCAAACAACTCTCAGTCAATAGGGGTATAAGCTACTATAGATTCAATGTTCCACTTTCGCAAAACTTTTCATTAAGTGATGCCTCTAAATCTGCACTCTCTTCAATGGAAAATGAAACAAGAGCCCACATGTTATCAAACGAAAAAATGATGGACGAAATCAAAAAACTCAAATTCGAAATCGAAACCATCAATAATACCAATATTTAAATTAAAAAAAAAAAATTAATTTTTTTAAAATAAATAAATAATGTAAATTATTAAAACCTATATTTTATCACTTTCATTTATTTGTTTTAAATTTAAATCATATTTAATGTTGATGCATATGCAAAATTAATTATTTTAGGATATTAGTTAAAAAAAAAAAAAAATAAAAAAAAAAAATTAATTTTTTTTTTTTTAAATTTTTTTGCATAAAAATTTCAAAAAACACGAGACTCGCGTTGTCATATAAAAATATACATATAATTTATCTGTTATCTCTTTTCTAAAAAAAAGGATATCTTTATAAAATTAGAAAATCATGAATAGAATCACTACCAATTTTTTAAAATCATCATCTCAATTATCTAAATCCACACCAAAAGCACACTTTTCAACCATATCAACCCCAATCACCCAATTACCATCAAGTTTAGTCAGCGAAGAAGAATATAATAAAAAAAATAATTTTACACCAATTGATAATTCATTTGCCGTTGTTCACATCTCTGGCAAACAATTTAAAGTAATTAAAGGCGATGTTATTATGACTGATAGATTAAATATTAATGTTGGTGAACACATCGTTTTAGATAAAGTTTTATTAGTTGGCACTAAAGAATCCACCATGATTGGTAAACCATTAGTCGAAAGCGTTAAAGTACACGCATACGTCGAAGAACAACCAAAAGCTGAACACGTTATAATTTTTAAACATAAACCAAGAAAAAATTATAAAAGAACAACAGGTTATCAAGCTTTAGCAACTCATATTAGAATTGGTGATATTATTCAAAGCAATAATTAAATAACAAATAATAACAAATAATAATAATAATAATAATAATAATTTTTTTCAAAAATATAATTTAGTTTTAAATAATATAATAGTTTTTTAAAAATATATATAGTAATAATAAAAATAATCATAGCATCATCATTTATATCACGCAAACATTACAAAAACAACAACTATCCAAAAACACTTCACAAAATTATAATATAAACTTTTTTTTTTTTTTTCAATTTTTAAAATTTTAATTTTTTAAAGAAAAAATACAAATAACAAATCATCAACTCTAGAAATAAACATACACATAAATATACACATATGTAAATATAAAAAAAAAATAGGTGTAATAAAAGAAATTAAAAAATAATAATTTAGATATTCATATTTATAATGAATATCTAGACATTATACAAATTTATTTTTTTAAGAAAAAATAATTTAAAAAAAAACAAATAACGAAAGAATAGTCTTTTTATTTATATTTTATGAGGTCTTTTTTTTTTAGATAATTTTTTAATTTTTAAAAATTTTAATTTTTATTTTGTTTTTTTTTATAAATAAATATTATTTTATCTTCTTCTTTTTGATCTATCACTATCTTGTTGTGCCGATCCTTTTCTTTTATAATCTGATGAGTACGACGACGATGATCTTGAGTCTCCACGGTCACGGTCGCTTCTTCCACTACCTTTATAATCGTCACGGTCTCTATCTCTTTCACGATCACCTCCTCTGCTGTTGCCACCGCTGCCGGTTGTGCCTCTACCGCTTTTATAATCGTCACGATCTTTATCTCTTTCACGGTCTCTGTCGCTATTACTTCTAGAGTCTGATCTTGAGCTTTTTTCTCTTTCTCTTTCACGGTCTCTTTCACGTTCGCTGCTTCTGTGGTCATCTCTTTCTTTTTCACGCTCTCTTTCTCTTTCACGCTCATTGCTTCTTCTTTTTCTGTTACTATCTTCTTCTTCGTAGGGCTTATTTATACCGCCACGATATCCACCACTATTATCTTGATTATATGCACCTCTTTGGTTGTAGCCTTGTGTTTGTTGTTGTTGCTGTAGCTGTTGTTGTTGCTGTTGTTGGTGTTGTTGGTATAAATGTTGCTGCATTTGGTTTTGTTGTCCTCTGTTGTATCTGTCTTGTGGTGCTGAGTCTGTATTATCATTACCCTCACCATTATTGTTATTACTGTTATTATTAATATCTGATCTACTTGGTTGTTTTTTAAATATTGGTCTACCGCCTTGCATTTTTTTATTTGTATGGGATGCTTCATGATCACCTTGGAGTTCGGGAGGTAAATCAATTGCACCATTTGATTTTGAATCTATATTGTTTTTACTTTCATAACCTTTAATTTTACCTAAATTGTTTACTTCTAATCTCATTTGATTCTGTCTTTCACAGTATGCTTTCCATGTATCTTCAGTAAAATTATAATTGAAATAATCTGAAATATCTGCACCAGGTTTTAACCATGGTTTCTCTTCGAATGAATCTATATCAACTTCATAAATTGTTTTTTGATTTGTTTTTGCTGGAACAAATGCACCAGCTGGTGTTTGTTTTGTTGAAAATTTCCCACCTGAACCTGGAGTAATTGAAGATGGTCTAAATCCAGCAAATGTTTTATTAGGTGTTCTATTAAAACCAGTACTACTACCTGGTTTACTCGATGAAGCTTCAACACTCTCTTGATCTAATACAAGTACAACATCGTCATCGTCATCATCTGAATCATCGTCATCGTCATCATCGTCTTCACCATCGCCTTCCTCACCATTGTCTTCTCCATCTCCACCTTCTTCACCATCTAATTGTTCTATATTATTATCTTCATTTTCTTCGTCCTCGTTGTTTTCAACATTTTCGTCTACATTCGTGTCTTCATTATTTTCGCTAAAATTTAATTTTATAATGATTGTAGATATTGGTGGTAAGTATAGATATTTTATTTTATTATATTATATTATATTATTATAGTAGGGGTATTATACAAACCTCATGTTATATTATTTTTTTTTTCTTTAAAATGAAATTAAAATATAAAAAAAAATTAAAAAAATTAAAAAAGTTTTTTTTTTTTTTTTTTTTAATTTTTTTTTTTTTTTTTAATTTCAAATTCTTTTTTTTTTTTTTTTTTTTTTTTATCTAAACAAAAGTTTTCCAGAGGTAATTATTAGTCCCCTAAACTTAACTAATCTTTATTTTATTATTTTTTTCCCAAGAAGATGACTCACTTTAATTTTTTAAAAAATTTTTTTTAATTTTTTTTTTTTTTTTTTTTTTTAAAAATGATTTTAAAATTTTTTTTATTAATTTTTTTAAATTTTTTTTTGTTAATTTAACACTTTCAAATTGTATTTATAGCGTTTTAAAGATATATTTTAATTAAAGATATACATATATACAAATAACAATGTCCACAGACGCAATTAAAGAATGGTGGACCAGTATACCAATTATTTCAAGATGGATGTTTGCTGGTGTACTTGGTATACCTGCTATTTGCGCATTGGGATTAATTTCACCATATAGTTTCACCTTATCATTTGCTCCACTCTTTAAACAATTCCAAATATGGAGATTAATAACTTCACCAGTATTTATTGGTACCTTTGGTCCAAATTTCTTATTTCCAATGATTTTTTTGTAAAGTATTATTATAATAAATAAATAATAATAATAATTAATTATAATATAATATAATATTCTAATCTTTAATTTTTAAATATAGCTATCAATATTCAACCAAATTAGAATCACAACATTTTCAAGGTAAAACTGATGACTTTTTATTTTTAGTTATTTGTGTCACAATTCCAAATATTGTAAGGATATTTAAATTATAAACAAATATAGTTATAACTCAAACTAATATAAATATAAATATAAAATATTATAGATTTTTGGATTAATTTTTAACTATATGATTCTTGGAACAATGACTACCATGTCATTAATTTATATGTACTCAAGATATAACGCAAATAGTCAAAGTAGTTTCTTTGGATTTTTCTCATTTAAAACAGTTTATCTTCCATGGATTTTTATGTTGATGAGTTTCCTTACATCTGGTGCCTTACCAGTTCAAGATTTCTTAGGTGTTGTATCAGCCCACATTTACTATTATTTAACTGATGTCTACCCAAGAGCACATGGAAAACCATCTTTAATTAAAACTCCACGTTTCATTTCCAACCTTTTCAAAAACGAACCAGTTCCAAGAGGACCAGGTGGAAGAACTGTTACTGGTGGTTACAATTGGGGACAAGGTCGTGCTCTCGGATAATATAACAATATAGAAATATAATATTTTAATCACTATAAATAAATCAAAATTTTTTTTTTTAAAAATAATCATCATTCATTATTTATTTATTTCAATTAATATATTTTGACCAAATCATATATAGGGCACAGTGGGGTCAATTAGATAAATTAATTTTATTTTATTTATTATTTATTATTTGTCAATTACCTATTGGTGCGGAGATGCCAACATTATTTGCTCCTTTTAAGTAAACCTGTCCAAAAAATATTCAAAATTTCAACAAATCACCCGGAAGATTTTAATAATTTGAAAGTTTCGCCCAAAGGGGGGCTCGAACCCCCGACCACAAGGTTAAAAGCCTTGCGCTCTACCGACTGAGCTATCTGGGCAGACGATGAAACTTTCAATAATTTTATTTGATTCAGCGTTTTTTTGCGTAGATGAAATATTTAAAAAGAAATTTTGGATATATATTTTTAATATTTGTAAACCTGTTAACTATATAAATACTAAAATAAAATCAATTAAAAAATATATATAAGTTTTACTTTTTTTTGATTAAATTTTAATCACTTATATAAGTTTAACAAATCAATTTCCCTTATATATTTTTAAAACCATTCTAAAAAAGAAAACCTCTTTAATAGCTATAATTTATTAAGTGATTTTAGATACCCATTAGGTGATTTTAGATATTTTAAATGTGTAGTGGAGAAAAAAAAATTTTAGAGCCAAAATTTTAAAATTTCAAATAAAAAAATTTTATTTTTAAAAAAAAAAAATTTATTTTTTAAAATAATTTTATTTTTAAAAAAAAAAATTTTAAAATTGTTTTTTTTTTTTTCAAACACCTTGCAACCACTTACCTCGTTGTTATTAGTTTTGCAATTTATTTTTTAAAAAAGTGTAATTGTAAATGTAAGATATCAAAGAATTTCTTAGTTTTTGTTTTCATTTTTTATTTTTATTTTTTGTGTTTATTTTTTTTTTTTTTGTATATTCTTAATCATAAAAAAAAAAGTTTTAATAAAAACTTCAATAATAAAGATAATAATTATAATTATAATAATAGTAACAATAAATAACAATAGTAATACTAAATAATGATTGTGCTTGTAGTGGTATTTGTTTAATAGTAGAAATAACAATAGTGGATAGTTCACTATTCAATATTGATAGCAATAATAATAATGTTTAATTATGTAACTTACATTTGATATTTGTATATTATCCTTATAATGTATAGTATCCCAAATATTAATTTTTCACATATAAAAAAAAAACTACTTTCCACCCCCCAATTACACACTTAACACATTATTTCGCACAGATTTACCCCTTAAAACATACACATTCTTATTTATAATAATATAATATTAATTAAATTCTCTAAAAGATTCTTATATCCAATTTTAATTATAACCACAAAAAAAAAAAAAAAAACACTCACCCATTATATAAAATATACTATATATATTTATTTATATTCTCGTAATCTTAAATAATAATAGTTTATAAATACCAATAATAAACGTCAATCATACACCATATTCTCTAAATCCAAATATAAAAAAATAATTTGAATAATTGTTATTATTTTTAATATTCAAATTATTTTTTTTCAAACTCATTCTTTTTTTTCACAATAATAATAATAATAAAAATAATAAAAATAAAAAGAATTCTTTATTTAAATATAAAATAGTAACAATTAAAACATTAATTTTAGAACGCATAAAACTGTGAGTGATTTATATATCTTTACTATTTCTAAAACGGCGATAATAATGTTTATTAGATTCTATATTTTTATTATTAGATTTCAATCATTTTTCTAATTATATAATAAACATAAATAATTATTTATATATAAAATAAAAAACAATAGTTTAGTTTAGGTTAAATTTTTTTTTTTTTTTATTTATTTATTTATTTTTTTTTTTTTTTTTATGGTTGGTTAAAAATAATTTTTTATTTATTTATTTTTTTTTTAAAAATATTTTATTTTTTTTTATTTTTTTTGTTTAATTATTTTTCATTTACCATATAATGTTTTAAATAATATCATTATCGTTATTGTTTTTTTATTTTTTTTATCATAAATCACATTTTATAATAATATAATTAACAAAGAATCAATATTAATTTTTTTATTTTAAATTCATAAAAAAAATTCAAAAAATTCAAAAAAAATTTTTTTTAAAAAATAGAAAAAAAAAAAAAAACACATAATTTTGCAAAACAGAGTTTTTCAAATAATTCAAGTTATATTTATTTAATATTTATTGTGTAATATATCATATAATCATTCAATCATAATCATCGTAATAATAATATTGTAAAATTTCGTAATTTTTTTTAAAAGTTTTTTATAAAACAATAACAATAAAGTGATATCAGTAATATATCTAAAAGAAAAAAATGAATAGAATTTTTGGCAGAAAGAAAAAAGAAAAAGATGGGGCATCATCTAGAGAAAGCACAGAGTTTTCAGAGAATGATTTCCTTTCATCATTACCAGCCAAAGCAAATAAACGTTATTCAATGGCATATTCTAGCTATCAACAACCAGAATCGGGTTCAAGAAATATTTCAGGTGCTGAAAAATATGACGATGTATGATATAAAAAAATTAAAAATTTTTTTTCTTAAAATATATATATTAATATTTTATTACTACTAAAGAAAGGTAAAGCTGTAGATACACCAGAGTTTTTTGTCAATACAATTAATGTTTTACCAAATATTGAAATTTTAGCGCAATTATGTTCAACATTACAAAGTAAACCATCATCATGGGCAAAGTCATTAATAGATAGTAATGGTATCGAGGCATTGTGCAATGTTTTAGTTTTTATAGAAAAGAATGGACAAAAAGACAGTGATATAATTTTACAATCATTGGCAATTTCATGTATATTATCACTCCTCAATAGTAAATATGGCATAGAGAAGGCAATAGCAACACCAAACTCAATGATTAAAATTATTACAACTATGGATACACCAAAGGCTGATACACGTTCATCTGTATTTGAAATTCTTACAGCAGTTTGTATGGTTTCAGAGAAAGGTTACCAATTGATCCTCGAGGCCATGACCCATTTTAAACAGGTTCGTAAAGAAAGATTCAGATTTACCTATCTTGTCGAATCTATGAAAAAAGATCAATCTGATAAAGAATATTTGACCACATGTCTCACTTTAATCAATGGTATAGTTAACAGTTCAGAAGAGGTTGATGAACGTATTCAATTAAGGGGCGAGTTTAGCAGATTAGGTTTGGACGAAATTATCCGTGTTAATAAAAAGATTCAATATGAAGAGGCACCAGATTTACTCACTCAAATCGATGTATACGATGATGAATTACGTGCAGATCAAGAAGAATTGGCTGAACGTTTTGCTGATTTAGAAATCGATATTAATAATCCAAAAGAAATCTTTAAAATAATCCACAATCAAACTAAAGATCAACCACATCATCCTTTCCTAAGTATACTTCAATCTTTGCTATCAATTCCCACCGATACCGAGTCAGGAATGTTAAGTTGGTTCCTTGTAGAAAAATTAATTCAGCAAATATCCCTCAACAAGCCAATGATTGGCGACGAAGAAGGAAGAGTCAGTTTAGAGGATTTATTGGCTACAACTGCCCCATCAGTTGCATTACAATCTGAATATAAAAAGAATTTCGAGGATCTCCACAAAACAAAAGAACAACTAAAGAAAGCAACATTTGATTTAAATATAGCAAATCAAGAGTTATCGTGTAGGAGTCAAGAGTCTTCAGTTCTCAAAAGTAATATGTTTAATACCGTCAAGCAAAAAGATATCGAAATTAGTAAGCTTCGTGGTCAAGTGAAAAGATTGGATTCAAACTTCTTTAGTCCACCACCAGGTGCAGGTAGCGGAAGTGAAGATGAAAAAGAAAAAGAAAAAGAAAACACCACTAACTCAACATCTTCTAAACCACCTGCCTCTGCCAAACCACCATTATTACCAAAATCAAATTCAGCAAAATCAGTTTTGAAAAAAGAAAAAGCTAGATCGAGTGATAGCTTATCAAATGATTTAAAACATCAAGTAGATTCAGCTCAACAGACCTCAACCCCACCAATTTCAAGTTCACCAAAAGAAACCTCACCAGCTTTAACCTCAACAACCCCAACTATAGTACCATCACCAGTTGCAGCCGCACCACCACAAGAAGAAGCACAAGTACCTCCACCACCACCAGTTGCAGCCGCTCCACCTCCACCACCTCCACCTCCAATGATGGGTGGCCCACCACCACCACCTCCACCACCAATGATGGGAGGAGGTCCACCACCACCACCTCCACCACCAGGAGGAGCACCAGGAGGTCCACCACCACCACCAGGAGCAGGTGGTTTTGGATTATTCAACTCTAATAAGCCACCAGCCAATGCACCAAAATTCACAGTTTCAAAACCAAGCACCAAAGTTAAACAATTCCAATGGACCAAAATTCCAAATAAGAAATTAAATGATACTATTTTCACTAATATGGGTAATATTAAAACCGATTGGCTTAATCCTAATGAAATTGAAAATCTCTTTTTTGCAGCCGAATCAGCACCAAAGAAATTGGATGCCTCGGATAAAAAATCAACATCATCAACCAAACCAGGCTCAGTTACAGTTATCGATCCAAAGAAATCTCAAAATTTAGCAATTTATCTTTCCAAATTCAAATGTCAAATAGAAGATATTAAAACAGCCCTTTATACATTAGATGAAGAAGTCTTCAATATTGAAACACTTAAACAACTTGAACAATATCTCCCAACTGACGAAGATATGGAAGCAATCAAAGACTACTTAAAGAATGGTGAATTAAAAATGTTAACCAAGGCTGAACAATTCCTTTTAGAAATGGAGTCAGTTTCAAATCTCCAAGAACGTGTAAAATCATTTTATCTCAAAATAGCATTCCCAGATAAACTTAAAGAAATCAAACCAGATTTAGAACTTTTCACTAAAACCACCAAAGATATAAAATCCAGCAAAAACTTTTTAAAGGTTATTGAAGTTATTTTAATTATTGGTAACTTTTTAAATGGTGGCACAGCAAGAGGCGATTGTTTAGGTTTCAAATTGGATGCTCTCTTAAAACTAACCGATACAAAAACTTTCAATAACAAATCAAATCTTTTAGTGTATATTATCAGTGAAATAGAACAAAAATTCCCAGAAGCTCTCAAATTTATGGATGATCTCTCAGGTGTTCAAGAATGTGTAAAAATCTCTTTAAATACAATCCAAGCCGAATTAAACATACTCAAAAAGGATTTAGATGTTGTTACTAATGGTTTAGGCAAAATGAAGAGAAACAAAGATGAATCATACTTTTTCTCATCAATGGATGATTTCATTAAGGACGCCAACATTGAAATCAAGATTGCTTTTGAACAATTCCAAGAAGCTGAAAAGAATTTCCAACAACTAGCCTCTTTCTTTGGTGAAGAACCAAAAATGGCTTCAGAAGATTTCTTCTCACTTATGAATCGTTTCATTGTTACTTTTGATAAATGTTATAAAGACTTCCAAAGAGATAAAGAAGCTGCCGAGCGTGCTCTTAAGAGAGATGAGGCCAAACAAAAGAAACAACAAGCCCTCAAGAGAATGAATGGTAAATTATCTCAAGGTAAAAGTACTAGCGGTGCCAATCCACTTTCATCAAGCACATCCTCAATGGCCGAAGGTATGGTGGACGATATTATGCAATCAGTTAGAGATGGTGATGCCTTCAAACAAAGAAGACAAAGAAAAGCTACAACTGAAACAGAATCAACCACCGAAAGTACATCTATTATTACAACCCCTAGTGGTATCGAAATTGATATAACACCTCCAAAAGCAAGTAGAAGAGGTAAAAAATCGAGTGATACAGACAAAGAAAAAGGTAAAGAAAAAGAAAAAGAAAAAGAAAAAGAAGAATCAATTGGTAGTGGAACTGTTTCAAAGAAAGATATTAATGTTGCTGCAAAAGCTTTAACGATTGTAATGCGTAGTAAACAAAATTATTCAAGAATCGATAATTTTAATTTTAATGAATAAATTGTAATAAAATAATTATTTAATAATAGTATTAAAAAATTTCTTTTAATATTAAATATTTTTGAAAAAAGATTATATTAAAGTATTTTTATTTTATTAAAAATTTAAAAGAAAAAAAAAAAGATTTTGGGAAGTTTTTTTGGAGATAATTTTATATTATTTTTTTAAAAACAATATAATGGATTTTATTAAAAAATAAATTTGGGTATTTTAGTTTGATTTTTCCTCATCATTTTTGAGAACAGCACATCTGTACATATCTAAATAGTTTCTAGCAGCAAAAGAATGATTATAAACTGCTCCATTAAAAGCACGGGTGGCATCTTTTCCAATGTAGTCATCAATAAGTTGTTTGCCACCTGGATGGTTTGAAGCGAATTCAATCATGTCATAAATAACATTTTCAACAACTAACCATTGTTTCTTTTCTTTTTGACATTTTTCTTTGAATTCTAAACGGGTATATTGTGGAAGTTCTGATATTGGTTTACCCCAATTTAATTTATCTCTTTGTTCTCTAATTTTCTTTTCAGCCATTTGAATTTTACCTTTAACAAAAAGTTCACTTGGGAAACGTTTGAGCTCGTAAGCTTGGCCAAACCATGAAAGGAGACAAATTAACCATTTACCTGGGTCATAAGCTGAGTGATGAATACCATTTCTATAGTCATATGGGAATTCGTGATGGAAGTTATGATAACCTTCACCAAAAGTAACTAATGAGGTGATGAATGAATCACGTGGTGAACGTTGATCGGTGTAAGTAGCTTCGCCAAGATAATGAGCTAAACTGTTGATACAGAAGGTACATTGCATCATGAAAACTTTGGATGCAACACCAGCAATTAAGAACCCACCTCTCCAGTCACCCCAACCTAAACCGCAAATAAACATTGGTACAAACCAACCCAAACTAAAAGCTAAAGGTACAAAATATTTGTGTTGGAAACGAAGAACTGGATCAGCTTCAAGATCACTGATATCAGAGTCACCTGGAATACGTTTTAAGAGCATCCAACCCATGTGTGAATAGAAAAGACCTTTTTTGACATTATATGGATCTTTATCTGTATCAGTGAAACGATGATGAGCACGATGATCTTGACACCATTCGAATACACTACCTTCAAAAGTACTAGTACCCATCAACATGAGAATAATACGAACTGGTAATTTGGCTTTGTATGAACGATGTGAAAAGAGACGATGATAACCAGCAGTGATACCCATACCAGCGATATAGTAAGCAATGAAAGCAGTAATATAAGTTTTGGTAACATATGGAGTAGTAAGAATACCATAAATAGCGAGTACTGGTGTACCGAGTAAGAAAGCGGCAATTTTCCAATTAACTTTTTCGTACCATGGTCTTGATGGATGAACGGCATATAAAACCTCACCACTATTTTCTTCTTTATTTAACTCGACTGTTGGAGTTGATTTTTCACCGACATGTTGGACAACTGGTGGTAATTGGGTTAAAAGGGTGGCAAATGAAAGCTCAGTAATACTTTCATATTCTTTCTTTAAAGCTTTGTAAGCATCTTTCCATTTGTATGATGGAACACCAATATTTTGTGACATATTGGTAAGAGTGACACCAATGTTAAAATCTTGGGTAAGATATTCGACCCATGATGGAAGAGCAAAGAATGTTGGTTTGCTTGAAAAGTTTGAAAGTGATGAGGCTTTAAGGAAGGTTGACATCCAAAAGTGGTATACAAATAATGGAATTAAATAATATTTAAAGAGACCCCAAACACCAAAACCATAAGTCATCAATGGGAAGAAAAGAGCGATGAACAAGTAGAGGAATGAAACACTTAACATCATGCCTTTGGAGAATTTGAATGAGAAATTTAATGATAACCATTGTAAAAGTGATGAGAAATACCAATAGTGACCGGAAGCGATTTCACGTACAAAGTCACGACCTTCTGAAGCTTTCTTTTCGATTCTCTTTTTCCAATAGTCGAGAGGATACATTAATGGTAACATACAGATGGTACCAACAACATAGTTTACAAATTTATTTTTGAAAAATAAATCGTTACCACATGCATAACCAACAGCAAATAAACCACAACATGCTGTACCCATAAAAATCCAACCAATTGGTAATAAATACCATGGTAATGCATATACTAAATAAGCACCAATTGTAACTAATGAAATTGATGCTATTAATTTTTTGGTAGCTGATCTAGTGCTTTTTTCAAAAACCTAAAGGAATAAATAAAAAAATAAAAAAAGGTAAATTAGTATTTTAATTTATTTTTAATTTATAAAGTTTGTTCTTTTATTTGTCGGTTTTTTTTTGTTTTTATTTTTTTTATTATTTTTATTATGATACATACTTCTTTTGGAAGTTTTGAAATCATCTCTACTACTTCTGTGCAAGTAGATATAGGTGATGAAATCATTTTTTATCTTTTAATATATATCTAAAAAAAAATATAATTTTATATATATAATTTATTAGTGTTTGATAAAAATAAATAAAATTTTTTTTTTTTTTTTTAAAAATTAAAAAAAAAAAAATTAAAAAAATTAAAAAAAAATAAAATTTTTCGTTACTTACAAAATTTTAAAATTTTGTAATATAATTCAGATATTTCTATTGTTGTTTATAATGTGCGAAAATTGCCTTGTTTTTTATTGTTAAAAAATAAAAAAGATAAATAAAAAATATAAAAAAATAAAATAAAAAAAAATAAAAAAAAAATAAAAAAAAAATACAAAAAAAATATAAAAAAAAAACAAAAACACAACTTTTCAGGGATATGGTTTAATAAATAAAATAAATAAAAATAAATAAACAAATAAATAAACAAACAAATAAATATAAATAAATGTATACATTAATTTATAAATTAATACGTAAAAAAATAAATAATGAATAGATAAATAAAATTTTTAAATTTTAATCTAAAGTTAAATTTTCTTTTGTTATTCGGAAATAATTGGTTTTAATTGATAAAACTGGACCAGTTTTTTATTTTAAAATATCTCTTTGAATTTTTTTTTTTTTTTTTAAAAAAATTTATATAAATTTTATTTATTTATCGGGTAATACAATTGGTGATAAAATATGAATTTTTCTCATTATTTTTTCTCTAAAATCTCTTTTTTTCTTTGATGCTGATGACAGAGGTGTTGATGATGCTGATGTTGATTTCGAGATTGATTTATGATGTTTTTTAGAATCTTCTTCAGATTTACTTGATTTTTTGGATGCCGCTGATGATTTTGATTTTGATGAATCCTTTTCTTTTTCTTTTTCTTTTTCTTTTCCTTTTTCTTTTTCTTTTTCTTTTTCTTTTTCTTTTTCTTTTTCTCTTTCTCTTTCTCTTTCTTTTTCTTTATGTTTATCTTTACTACTCTTTGATGATGAACTATCTTTTTCTTTATCTTTACCATTTGAAGAGGATGATGATTTATCTTTGCTTCCACTTTTTGATGATTTATCTTTGTTTTTTTCGTCCTCTTTTTTATCTATATCTTTCTTTATTGGAATTTTTAAATCGTTTATTGGTTTATTTGGTGAGGAGATAGATGAGGATGGGTTCTTTTTTGATGATGCTGATTTGGGTATTTCGTCGTCGCTCATATCACTACCTGTACATGTTGAGCAATCTGTGCTATGGCTACAAGTTGAGCAATCTGTTGAGTGTGATTCAGAGCCTGAATCTGAATCAGAGTCATTACTACTCTCTTTTTTAATATTGTTACTGTTACTTTTACTATCACTGCCATTCGATTTGTTATCTTTTGGTTTATAAACTGGTGGTGGGGTTGGGTTTTTATTCCAATTTTTTATTTCCTCCATACCTTGTTGATGTTGTTTATTTTTTGAAATTGAATATTTTTCTATATTTGCTTCATCATATGGTAGAAAAGATGATTTCGAAATGTATGCACTGTATAGTGTTTTTAAAAAAGATATTAGTTTAGGTTTATTAGTTTATTGTTGATTTGTATCAAGTTTATTATTATCTTTTACATACTAATCTTTACTACCAAAAAAATAAACTAGTATTGAGTTTTCTTTCTTTTTACTTTTAATATTTGGTCCTACCTCTGTTTCAAAGGCAGTTCTACATGGCCATACTGGGTAGCTAGAGATAAAAAAATAAAAAATATTAATATATATATATATTCAGTTATTGTTTGATAGGATGATATCTATCCATTTATATTTAAATTACCCTGTAAACTTTCCAAAACCTAGTGATATACCATATCTAGCATCTTTATTATCTTTTGACATTCTCTATTTCGTTATTAAAATTTATTGTTTAAGCAATTATTTATATTACACTTAAGTAATAGTAAATCAAGATATTATAATATCCTTTTGTTTTGGGAATGTAATGAAGCAAAATAATTAATAAATTTGAAAAAAAAAAAAAAAAATTAAAAAATTAAAAAAAAAATGAAATGAAATTAAAAAAAAAAAAAAAAAAAAAAAATTGGTGTGTGTTTGATTTTTATTTATTTATTTTTATAAAAAATTGTTCATAGATATATTTTTTTTTTTTTCATAGATATAATTTTTTTTAGTTTATTTATTTCCCAATCTTTTCATTTTGCTTTTTTTAATAAAAAACTCACACAATGAGGGTAAAGAAAATCTAAGTGAAAACTCACAATTTTAAATATTTTTTTTTTAATTTTAAAATTATTTTATTATTTTTTTTTTTTTTTTTTTTTTTTTTTTATAATTTTTTTAAAATATTAATTTAAAAATTTTGTATTTGACTTGTCACCAAAATAACCCTTAAAACCAGTTTATAGAATTTTTTATATAACCGCATTCAATTTCATTTGGTTGGTTAGTTTTGTTATTTTTTATTTTTTATTCTTTTTTTTTTTTATTTTTTTTTATTTAATTTTTAAATAATAAACTTTCTTTTTTTATTTTATTTTGTTCATTTAAAATATAAATTAAAAGAAGAAAAACAAGAAAAAGAATATAATAGAAAAAAGATGAATAAAAAATCAATATTTTATTTAGGTATTGTTTTTTTAATCGTATATTTTTCAATTTTAGTTTCAAATTCAACTGTGGGTATTGGTTTTATCTATGTGTAGTGTAGTGTTTGGGAATGGTTCACTAATTTTAAATATAATATTTTATAACTATATAGGTTAAAACTAAAGATACTGTTGACGATTGCTGTTGCAAGAAATCAAATATCGATGTATCAAATGATAAAGAAATTAATATTTTATTAAATAAAATTGTTGTATGTATAATCATGTGTGGTTTCATAGTATATTAATATTGGATATTAATAAAAAGATGTTTTATTTTAAAATAGAAAACTAGATTTTTCAAATATTTCAAAGCAAACTTATTTAGTGAATGTCCATTTTGGGTAATTACAGCATTATGTGGATCTGAGGGATGTGGAGTTTGTGAATGTGACGAAAATGAAATACCTTTACCATGGAGGGTCGAAGATACTACCAGCGATAGAGTAGATATGTCACCACCACCACCAGGTTTTACCAAATGGAAAGATAAGAAGGACGATATGTGGGTTGTTGTAAATGGACCAGAATCAGAATCCACCTATGTAGATTTATCTAAAACACCCGAATCCAATACAGGTTATGACGGTAGCTCAGTATGGAGCTCCATCTATAATGAAAATTGTTTTACAAGACCAGTCGACCAAATGTGTCTTGAAGAGCGTGTTTTCTACAAGTTAATTAGTGGTTTACATTCCTCAATTACCATTCATATAGCCTTATATTACAATCAAGATAAAGTTTTGGATCAATGGGAGCATAATTCAGACCTCTTCAAACAACGTTTTGAAAATCACCCAGATAGAATAGAAAACCTTTATTTCACTTTTCTCTTTTTACTACGTTCTGTTGGCAAACTTAATCATTTCTTAACAGACTATCAATTCAATACTGGTAATGATATCGAGGATAAACAAACCTATGACCTAATGCAACAATTATTAAAAACAGAGTTAATGTGTCAGCCAAATTTCGATGAAACATTGTTATTTAAGGATACCTATGAAAAAGTAATTGTTTAAAAAAAAAAAAAAATCCCACCAATTTATTATCTTTACTAATTAATTTTTTTTTTAAATTTAGGAAAATTTAATAGGTCAATTTAAAGAACATTTCCAAAATATTAGTTCAATTTTAAATTGTGTCACTTGCGAAAAATGCAAATTATATGGTAAAGTTCAAACTATGGGTTTAGGTACAGCATTAAAAATTTTATTTGATGACAATATTCAATCAATCCAAAGAAATGAAATTATTGCATTAATTAATACACTTAGACAGCTTTCAAACTCACTTCATGGCATTCAAACTTTAAAAACACCATTTAACCAAAGCAAATTTACTTTAATCAAAAGAGAAATCTTAAATACTTTTATATTTTTGAAGACTTTAATATACCGAGTAGACGACACTGATAAAAAACAATTAAGTAATAGTGGTTATTCATCATCTCCATTCGCAATTTCTACACCTTCTTCGAATAGTAGACCAATAGCGACTCTAGTTATAATTTCAGTTATAGTAATTTTATTAACAACATTTATAACAAAATCATTATGTTCTTCAAAATCATCCAAAAATAAAAACAAGAATAATATCAAAAAAGAATTGGCTCCAAATAATACAGATAATAGTAATAATAATATCGAAAATATAGATAAAAAAAATAATAGTAATAATAGTAACACACCTACTCCTACCAAACAAAAAAGAATAAAAAAAGTTGAATAGATTTAATTATATATATTCACACCCACTTATAAAAATTAAACAAACAAAAAAATATCTTATTTTTTTTTTTATTATTTTTATTTTTTTAAAAACAATTAAATTAAATTGTTAATGAAACCAAACAATAAAAAACAAGAATTTAAATTTCTTTAATTAAAAAGTTTGGAAAATTTTTTTAAATTTAAAAAAAAAAAAAAAAAAAAAAAAAACTATTGAATAGATGATATCAACATGTTGGGAGTTAATCCTTCCCTTTACCTTAGGGAAGGACCTGGATTTGGTTATTTATTTATTTAATTTTTTTTTTTTTTTTTTTTTTTTTTTTTTTTTTTTTTTTAATAAATTTTTATTTTTTTTATTTAAAATATTTTTTAATTTTTTAATTTTTTTTTTTAATTTTTTTCTTTCTTTTTTATATTTTATTACATTTTATTTTTTTTATTACATTCACCAAAACACATAGAATAAAGATTAATCTATACTTTTTTTTTTTTTTTTCAATCATAATTCCTTTCAAAATTATAATTATTGTAAATAGTAAAAAACTCAAAGAAAAAAAAAAATAGTTAAATAGACATTAAATATATATTAAATAATATACTTCGCACATATATATTTCAAAAATGACAGATGAATTTCAAATTAATAGAAATCAATCTTGGATGCACTCAAAGAGATTTTGGGTTATATATATTGTTGCAATTATAGCTTGCAAAGTTTTATTTTCAGTTTTAGTTCCAACATATGAATATGATTGGTTAACCATTACACTTTTACATGCAGTTGTAAGTAGCCTGTTTATTTATTTATTTTCCTTTGTTTATATAAAAAAATAGTACATTTATCAATAATAAAACTTTAAGATAGAATTGGTTATAGTTTTTTTTTTTTATTGCACCATGAATAATAAATATAATAAAAGCAAATCAAATCAATTAAATTATATTTTAGGGTTTCATTAACTAATATTAACATTAAAATTATAAATATAGATTACATTTTTTGGATTCCATTGGCAAAAAGGTATCCCATTTTTCCAAGCAGGTAGGTGATGAAATTTTATAAAGTTTTATTTTCATTTCGATTCAACATTTATTAATCTTTCATTTTTTATTATAAAAAAAGGTTGGAGTCAAGGAAAATATAGCAGACTTACATTATGGGAACAAATTGATAGAGGACAACAATATACACCAACAAGAAAATTTTTCACTATTATTCCAATTATCTTGTAAATATTAACCTCATTATTTAAATATTTTTTTTTAATAAAAAGAAATACTAATTTTTTTTTTTTTTAGATTCATGATTACTTTACATTCAAATGGTTACAAAGGAATTCCATTTTATATTAACGCAATTGCATCATTTGTAATTGTTTTATCGAAAATGCCCAGAATGGATCGTGTTAGATTATTTGGAATTAATAAATATTAGTTATAAAAACAACTTTAGATATATATAAAATAATAATAGTAATAGTAATAATAATAATAACAGTTTTAAAAAAAATATAATAAGTAGCCAATGTTTAATTATTATTAATAAATCAATTTTTTAGCTTTAATAATATTCAATACCCATTTAAAAAAAAAATAAAATAAAAAAAATAAATAAATAAACAAAAAAAAAAAAAATACACAAATACATCTTGTGTAAACTTTTTTTTTCATTCTTTTTTTTAATGTAATGGTAGTTTTGGATTTATTTTTTATTTATATTTTTATTTTTTAGGTATTGATCTTTTATCTTTAATCTTTTTTTTTTATTTTTTTTTTAGCTTTTTGGGTTTTATTGTGGATTATATAAAAAAAAAAAATACAATAAAACTAGAACAATAATAATAATAGAAAGATAAATTATTTATAAATTATTTTTTTTATTTTTTTATTTTTGAAAACTGTAATAAATAAATTTATTTGATTGAACCAACTATTTTAATGAAAGTTCAATTAATGACATTCTTTTATTGTCTGATAAAACCCTTATGCTGTTGATTTTAAATGGAGATCTATCAATAACATCTTTCCATTCCTTGACTGATCTTTCTTTTCCATTAAAATTTAAAATCATTTCTTTTAATAAAAAAAAACAATTAATAATTTATAATAAATAAATTAAGGATATTAATGTATACATACGTAAATCAAAATAAAATGGAGCAGATGGGGTGTTTTTAGGTTGGACTATGTGGTCAAATATATACACTTTACCATTCTTATCAATTGATCTTTTAAGATTTTCCAAAAGTGATAATACTTTATCATCATTAAACATATGGAGGATGAATTTTAAAGTGTAGCAGTCTGCTTTTGGGATTGAGTCCAAAATAAAAAAATCACCAGAGACGTCTGAATAACGATCATCCTCACAATCTTGTTTGTTTTGAGAGATTACGTGGGGCAAATCGAAATTGGTAAAGGATCTAACTTTTATTCCATTCTTACTTTTTGCAATTGCTTTTAAAAGGACACCGGTGGAGCCACCTAAATCTACCACTGATTCAAATTCGTTAAAATCTATATACTTTAGTATTGTATTGATTTCATCTTGAGTGAAACATGTCATTGTATTGTGGAAATAGGATTTTAACTTGGTATCTAATTCAAACATTTCCCAAGCACTTGAAAAACCTTGTGATGTCATACCATGGCTTTCACCGGTTTCAATTGTTTTTTCTAAATACATGAATGATTTGATTACATTTGGGTGGGATTGGAGGTAGATATTGTTGATCCAACTGGAGTTTGAGGTATTGGTTAGGAGTAATGACAATCTTGAATTTGAAAACACTCCATCTTTCTCTTCATCTTCAATAAATATTCCAATGGTTGATAGAGTTCTTAATAATCTATAAAGATTTTCTGAATGGGTGTTTGTAATTTTTGCCAATTCTTCACATGATTTTGGCCCACTTTGTAACAATTGAGGAATATTTAACTTTAATGCAATACTTAATGAAATTGATTTGGTATATCCAATAGCGACCTCCAATAGAAAATCCCTATCTTTAATATCCATTAAATAGTCATCGTTTGAAATCATTTTATTATTATTGATTGTTTTTGATTAAATATATACAAAAATAATAAATTTGAAAAAATATAATATACAAAATACAAATAAATATACAAATAAATAAACTATAATTTTATAAAATTTAACTATAACTATAAAATAAATATGCAAATAAATATACCAATAAATATACAAATAAATAAACTTATATTTTAAAACAATATTAATAATTTGATTAAATAGCAATTTTTTAAATTAAAAATTTCTTTTTGTTATTTTTTTTCATTTTTTTTTATATTTGAAAAGGGTGAATATTTTAAATGTTCACTAGCACACACTGCACACGCACTCCCAAAAAAATTAACTATCAATAAATAATTTTGTAGATAAAACAATTACATCTAAATAATAGAATAGAGTGTTAAATAAATAATTCGATAATATCATCATATATCATCATAACAAAAGGAATGAGTGGGTATTATTCATTTAAATTTAAAAAAAAAAAATGGTGGGTTTAAATTAATAAATAAAACATATAAACATATAAAAAAAAAAAAAAGATAAAAATAAAAATTTCAATACCACCATCAGAATAGATAGATTAAAAAATCCCACACTCTAAATATACATATTTACAGTGGTACTATAATTACTATTATTTTTATTTTTGTTGTTGTTGTTGTTGTTTAATGTTTATCTAATGTTTTAAATACCACTACCCCCTCCCCCAAATTGGAAAAAAAAAAAAAAACTAATTTATAAATAAAAAAACAAAACACATTAATAGGTTTTATCATTACAATTACTATTGACTATTTTAAAAAAAGTGGATAAGTTATTATTATAATAATATAAAAATAACTTTTATTTAATTTGAATAATAGTAAAATAGCCATATTTATATTTCATGCAAAACAAAAAAAAAATAATAAAAACAAAAAAATAAAAAAAGAAATAAAGATTTAAAAAAGATTACTGATGTGTATAAAAAAACATAATAATAAATAACAAAAATAAATTAAAAATTAAAAACCTTTTATTGCTTTAATTTTTTTTTTTTTTTTTTTTCAATATTGTTATGTTTGTATTATTGTTCTTTTCTTATTGTTATTGTTATTGTTTTTATTAATATTTTATTTTTATTAACTTGGTTGTTTTTGTTTGTGTAAATTTTTTTATGTATATCTAGATAAAATTGTTTTCTATGTTTATTTTTTTTAATTTTTATAATTTTTATAATTTTATTTTAGTTTTTTTTTTATTTATTTTGGTGCATATTCAAAAACTTTGAATTCGTTCACCGTTTGAAAGCATCGAGAATAAAATTTTATAAAAAAAATCAATAATCAATAATTATAAAAAAAAAATAAAAAAAAATTGGCGACAAAAGATGCTTTAAAATTTGTGTGCGTGGAGATTGTTTGTGGTGTTTATAATTTATTAATTGGGTTATTAAAGAAAATTTTTGTGTATATATTAAAAAAATAGAAAAAAGTATGTTTTTGTATTTTTTTTTTTTTTTTTTTAAAATAGTTATAGTTGCAATATGGAAACAGTGTGGGTGTGATAAAAATTTTTTTTTTTTTTTTTTTGAGTGGGTGTTTGGTTGTTTTTATTAGTTTGTGATATGATATCATCATCATCACAATAACTCTTATTTTCATTGTTATTTTTATGCATAAAATTTATATTGTGTATTGGTTATTATATTTATTTTGTATATTATAATAATATAAATATACAAAAAAAAAAAAAAAACAATTAAAATAATTGTTTTTTTTTAATATTTGCTTTATATATACAAAATTATTGGGGGTAAAAAAAAAAAACGCTCAAAAACACATATTCTTTATTAACATAAAATATAATGAAAAAAAAGAAAAATTATATTTCAAATGAATTTTGCAATTTATATGGCTTATTATAAAACTAATTATAATAATCATCATATCAATATGCAAAAATTAAAAAAAAAATAAAAGAAAAAAATAAAAATATTTATTTTTAATTTATTTTAATTTTTTTTTTTATAAATATTTTTTTTTTTTTTTAATAAATTTATTTATATAATTTTTTTTTATATTACACAAAATAAAAAAAACTATAATAGTTTTTTTTTTAAAATAATTAATAAAAAAAAAAAAAAAAACAGTTTTCGAAAAAAGGTTTATTTTTATCAACGTAATAATATCAATCAATCAACAATCACATAAATTTTAATAATATTAAAAATTTTATAACAAAGATATTTACTTTTTTTTTTATAAAAAAAATTCCAATCGAATAAAATTTTAAAATAAAAATTTAAAAATAGAATAAAATATATAAATAAAAAAAAAAAAATTATCATAATTATAAATTATATATAAAAATAAAAAATAAAATAAAAAAATGACATTCACATCATTATTAACATTTAAAAAAAGAAATAATAGTAGTTTTAATTTAATGAAACATTTTGGTAATAATGAAAAAAAAAATAATAATCTTGTAAATAGTACCAGTAATCATAATATTGTAAATAGTTCAAATAATAATGGGCCAACATCGCAGCCACAGTATGAATTTTCAGAAGGGGAACGATTGTTTTTTTCGGTTTGGAGAAATCAATATATAAACAAATATATTTTTTATCATTTACAAATATTTAATTATTTAAATCAAGAGGTCCAAAACATCGATCAGCTATTATGCTTTAGTCCAGAGTTAAGAAGTTATTCGAAATCTCTAAAGATTGTGGGAAACGAAAAATTAAATATTGGCGATATTCCAAATTACATAGAAAACATCGAGTTTTCCGATGAATATAACCAACCCATCACTCCATTAGCCATACCATCATCTGTAACATCTATTGTCTTTGGAAGCTCTTTCAACAATGAAATTAAAGCAGGCCAATTGCCAGATTCTATAAAGTCTATTCAATTTGGTTTTTCATTCAATTCTATCATCAAAGCTGGTCAATTGCCACCAAATTTAGAGACTATAAAATTCGGAAAAAAGTTCAACGAGATGATAACAGCAAATGTTTTACCACAATCTCTTACCACCCTTATATTTGGCGACAACTTTAACCAACTCATACTAAAAGGATGTATTCCTCCCAATGTGTCCACATTAGTTTTTGGCATAAACTTTGATCAACCTCTCTCACCTGGCTATATCCCTGATAGTGTTACTTTTCTCGAATTCTCAAGTAATTTTAATCAGCCATTTACTCCAAACTGTATTCCAAAGGGTGTTCAGAATCTTAAAATATTTAATAATTTCCCATTAGTCGCCAACTCGATCCCTGGCACAGTAAAGACTCTTTATTATGGTGGTGAGTCTAGTATCGGTACTAAATTTATTCCAGATTCTGTTTCCAATTTAACTTATTACAGTGGTCATAGTTTAGTTCCAGAGTATGTTCACAAGTCCGTTAGAACTCTCTCGATTCATGTCGAACAAGGTCCGCCCTCTAAAAAACTTCTTCCCAATTCAATTACCTCCCTTAGATTATTTATGGGTGATTTTAAAAAACCATTAAAATCAAAATACATACCAAACTCATGTATAAGTTTAGAACTAGATCTAAATTCATCCTATAAGTTTAAAGAGTTATTACCAAAATCCATTCCATCATCCGTACAATTTCTTTCATTCGGTAATAGTTTTAATTTACAACTCCTACCAGGTAACTATATTTTTTTTTTTTTTTTTTTTTTTTAAATTTTTATTTATATTAATTTTTAAAATTTTTTTTTTTTTAAAAATTAGGTTGTTTACCACAAAATTTAAAGAAAATTATTTTCCATGATACATTTAATCAAATTCTCGTTAATGGTATAATACCACAAAGTATTCAATCTATAGAATTTGGTAGGGATTTTAATCAGCCATTGCTAATTGGTTTAGCAGATTCAAAATCATCAAAAAATCATAGTACAACAACAAGTAGCACTGTAAGTAGTGGTACCATTACACCAAGAAGTGGAGGAAATACAACACCAAGAGGTGGAGGCAATACAACACCAAGAGGTGGGGGCGGTACAACACCAAGAGGAATTCCACTATCAATTCAACAACAGTTACAACAACAAGAATTAGAATACCAACAACAGCAACAAGAACCACAAATTGTTTACAGTATAATTTCAGCATCATCATCAATTATTGAAATTATATTTGGTGATAGATTTAATTCACCAATTAAATTTGATAAATTATTAAACTATAACATAGAATCAATTGTTTTTGGTGAGGATTTTAATCAAGATATTTCTTTGTCATCCTTACCATCCTCTTTAAAATCAATAAAATTTGGTAAATCATTCAATCAACCAATTGCTCCAGGTGTTCTCCCAAATTCTTTAGTTTCACTCTCATTTGGTACCGATTTTAATCAAATTTTAGCTCCATTGTCAATTCCAGAAGCTGTAGAAGAATTGGTTTTTGGTGACTCGTTTAATCAATCTCTTATCTCTGGTGCTGACGAATCTATAATACCTTCATCTCTAAAATACTTAAAATTGGGCAAAAGTTTCCAATCATCCAATGTTATCCCAGAGCTTAGTAATATTAATGCATTAAAAAAAGTTGAATTCTCTTTACCTCTTCTCTCTATAAATTATCTTGAAAAAGTTAAAATAAATAAATTATAGCAAATAAATAAAATTAAATAAATAATACTAAATCCATTTTTATATTTTTTTTAATTTTTTAATTTTTTTTAAAAATTAATTTCTTTAAATTAAACAAAATAACCATTGTTGGTTTTCTTAAGATCTTAAGAAAACTTCGTGGTTTTGGTGTTTAATAATTTAATTATTTTTTTTTAGTTTTTTTAAAAATATATTTTTATTTTTTTTTTATTTTTTTTTTTATTTTTTCATTTTTTCATTTTTAATTTTTTTATTTTTTTTTATTATTTTCTCTTTTTTTTAGTTTATTTATTTGTATGGCAATTAATTATTTTAAAAAATGAAGAAACCATTTTATTTATTTATATTGTTTGTAATATCTTTATTGTGTTCTTTTGTTTCAACAGATAATGTGTCAATAAAAGGAGGCCTTTATGAAAAACAATGTAAGAAAAAATATATATTTTAATTTATAAATTAAATAAATGTTTTTCTTTTTAAAAAAATCAAAAATAATAATATTTAAATAAATTTTAAAAAATCATTTAATAAATTAAAAAAAATAATATTAATATTGATAAAATTTATAAATAGATGATGCAATTGACAAAATAGCGGAGGTTATGGACCAAAAATTAGTAAATCTTTTGTTCCCAAAAACAGATGGTATTGCTGATTATTGTAAAGGTGGTAAAATATTTAAATGTGTTGGCAATAATGTCATTGGAATTAAAGCTCAAGGTTCTTTAGATGAGGAAAATGACATGGGACATATAGACGATTCTTTTAAGGATCTTGAGAAATTAGAAACAGTGTAAGTATATCTATATATTTTAATTTCATAACTTTTAATCATTTTAATTAACTTTTTTTTTTTTTTCTGTTTTGTTTTTAAATAACAATATTTTAGAGAATTAAGTCGTTTTGATCTATTTGATGATTTTTTAAATTCATTAAATAGAACTATTAAAACTCTGTATGTATATTACAATATTCAATAAATTTAGAAAACAACCCCAATTAAATTACTAATTTTTTAAAAAGAGTTTTAGATCATTGCACAGGTTTTGTATTTGAAAAAGATAACACCCTAGTTTTAGATAAATTGTAAATATTATAAAATAATTTTTTTACATTAACAATTCTAATAATAATAATAATAATAATTTTTTTTATAGGGATATAACAATTGGTGATTCATATTTTAAAGAAGAAAAAACACTTTCAATTCCAACAAAATTCGAAGTTAAAACATTGTAATTAGGCAATATATATATACACTTCTAAAAATAATATATGTAGTTCTAAAGTAGATTTTTTATTTTTTATATTTATAGAAATTTAGTTTATGAAGGAAATGATGATACAGTTTCTATAAAGTTTGAAAATATCGAAAAATATGATAAATTAAATAGAGTTTGGACTATTTCAGTATCAGAGTTCCCAAAATTAGATTTAGTTAATATGGATGCATTGTATGTTTAAAAACCCTTTAATCAAAATATTGGTAATTATAATAATAGAGTTTTTATTAATAATTTATTTTAAATGTATAGAACCATTAAGTTTATTGGTAGCAATATTTTAAGTTTACAAAATATTGCCAAATATACCAAAGTTCAGAAATTGTAAGTATAAAAAATTATTAAATCTTGTGGTTTCATTCATGGCTTCTAAAACTATTATTTATTTTATATAGAGCAATAAGTCCCTTCTCAAAATTATCAAATTTTGAAATAGATCCTGTATTATTTAAACACTTAAAGGAATTAATTGGAGATAAAGATTCTGTATTAACTTATTTTGGTACTGATATACCAATCAAACCAACAACAGAACTAATTGATCTCAGAACTGGTATTAAAAGAAAAGTGTTACAAGAAATGTAAGTTTTAACCTTATTAAATTATAAAAAAACAAATACTAATATACTTTTTATATTATTTTAGAGAAATTGTTAATGCTAAAAACTTTACATATGACAATGGTAGTTTGGGATTCCCATTCAGGGGTTTTGTAGACTCTTTAACAAAATTGTAAAAAAAAAACAAAAATAGGAAATAATCTTTTTATTTAGTACTAATATCATATTTATAATTATTTAGAACTTTTAATAATTGGATGGGAGGAAAGTTTGATTTAAGTAAAATAGAAAATAATATTGAAACACTGTAAATATTTATATTTAAATTTTATAATTTAGCAGGGTTAACCATAATTTATTAACTTTTTTTTAAAATATTACAGTAAAATGAGATCCTCAAATTTAAATACATTATATAGTGATTTGGGAATAACCACAACAATCCAAGATTTGTAAGTATTTTTAATTTTTTCTTCATCATTTTTTTATATTTTTATATTAATTTTTTTTTTAATACAGAGATTTATCCGGTAGTGGAGTTAATGGAGCTATTCCAGACAGTGTATGCAGCATTTCAAAATTAAAACTTACCAATAATAATTTATTTGGTGTTTTACCATATTGTTATAGTTGTTACCCAGCATTTAATGTATCATTTGACAAAAACACTTTCATTGACTCACCCTTAAATGAGTGTGGTATGTGTACTTTAAATATATGGACCTATTTAAACAAAAATTTGATATTAATTATTTTTTATTTTATAGATTATGATAAAATTTATGAAAGCATTGAAGTTAAATTAAATAAAAATGGTGATTTAAAGAATATTATTCTTACAGGTGATAATATTGGTTTTACTGCAGAAGAGTTCAACAAAGTTAGCGAGATTCAATGGATAGTAGGAGAAGCAAACAAAAGGTTTTTTAAGAATGGTGTCAATATTAGTGAGGATGGTTATACCAAAATTGCATTTAATGGTGTAACTGAATTATATCCATATTCATGGAAAATTATGGGTGTCGAATCTATATATATTAATAAAACATCCTCTAAATCACAAATCACAATCTATGGTAATCACTTCCCACCAAAACCAAGTTATATTAAATCACCAAAACTCGACGGTAAAGAATGCGAGGTAAAGTCATCAAATTATTTAAAAATCATCCTTGAATGTCCAAAAGCAAGTGGAACCAAAAACATCACTTTTGAAAGAGACTTTAAAGATAATCTTAAATACGAAAAGGAAATTAACTTGGATAATGACAAAATTATATTTTGTAAAGAGACATGTGAAAATGGATGTAATACAAACACAGGTAAATGTAATCCCTCAAAAGACAGTTCAGAAAACTCAAAAAAAGGAGAAAATAGTAGCAACGAGAGTGAAGAGAGTGAAGAATATGACAGTGGATCAATTGGAAAAAAAGATAATACAAGTAATGTTGTTTTAGGAATTGTCATTTTAATATTTGTAGTCGGTTTGGTATATTTTGGATATAATAAATTTATTGCACCAAATAGTACCTCAACCAATAATAGCTCCTATAGAAATTTAACTGCTCGTGATGAAGAAGAATTTGAAGATGGTATCCCAATGAAATCAGTCGAAGATCAAGAGTAAAAACACAAAAAAAAAAATAAAAAAAAAATAAAAATAAAATTTCATTTTAAAAAAACTTTTTTTTTTAAATTTTACGACTTTTTTTCATATTATCTCTTTGTTTTTCACAATTGAAGAATAGACTAATGACAGATTGTTTACTATTTAATAATTTTTCAAAATACATAAAACAATACTTGATTGAAATATTAATAAACTTGGATAATTATAATTATAAAATAATTAATAGATTTAATAATAATAACAATATAATATATGGTAATAGTAAAGAATTGAATCAAATTAAATTAAAAGATTATTGTAGTTCATTCGAGCTGGTTCTTAAATATGGGTTGGTTTCAAAAGAGTGGTTTTCAATGATATCGAATGGAATTAAATATTTATCATCAAAAATTAAATATAATAGACTTTCAGATAAATGTCTAATCAATCCATATCAAATTAAACATTTCATTCAAGAGGTATATTATAAATATAGAAGAGAAGAGTATGGTTTCGAAGAAGATGAAGAGAAATTACTTCAGCTATATCCGAACCTTGAGGAAATTAGATATCTAATCACAATGGACTATTCAGCAACACCCACATCCAGCAACCATTTAGACAATGAAGAGTTTTATTTAAATTATTATAGTGGTGAAAAAATATTTAAAATTAAACCAATTAATCATTTAAAAAAATCAGTAAAATCAAAAATAACATTATATATTGAATCACCAACGAGTTATGAACCATTGGTAATCAGTGGGGGATATTGCCAAAGTCAAAGGGTGCTGGTGGACCAATTAATATATAGCAGTAAATTTGGCAGTTGTTCAAACGATTTAATAAATTTAATTAAATTTTTTTTTAAGACCAATAATTTAACCACATATAGTGTCAAAGATTATTTTAGTTATTCAAAAGACTTAATTGATTCATTAGATCCCACTTTAGAGTCCATCAAAATATTAGGTAATAATAGTTTGGAACCATATTCACTATCAAGCCTATCAAGGTTTAATCAACTAAAATCAATTCAAGTTCAATACCATATCCACGATATATTATATCATATAGGCTTATCATCAAGTTTTATAAATGACCACAGTTTTATACCAAAATTTAAAGAATCAGATTACTATGGCGAAAATAACGATCTAAGAAATCCTTGTTACAAACCATTCGATGATGACATCATATACCCCTTTGGGAAATCCATCAAAAGACTCTGCAGCGTTGCCGACGACTGGTATGAAATGTGTGAGTCATTAGCAAACAACAATCATTTATTAAATCTTTCAATTGGTAACTCATGTATACTGGAGGAAGGTGTGCATCCACTAAGAAGATATATGAATGATGAAAAATTTTATATTAGCGCCAAAGGTAAAGAAAAGTACTATTCAAGTGAAGAAGAGTCTGATAGATTCGATCTAGAAGAAAAAGAAAGTGACAGCGAAACCGATAACGAAAATAAACCATCAGATTCCCCGATCGAATATATTAATTGCTCAGTAATTGATGATGGCAGTGGCGGTGTAATAGTGTTTGGTGGAATACCCAACAAATCAAATAGTGATTGTAGTAGCAGCGAAGAAGAAAATGACGATGATTACATATACGATGATTCAGATATAGCCAGATGCGAAAAAAAAATAACCAACCGATTCAAAAAGAAAAAAAAAAGAAAAGAAAAAAAATATCAAGAGTATTTAAAATTTTTAAATGATAGAAAAAATAGAGATACTGATCAATTTAAAACACATTATTATCAACTATTCAATGAATTCTCACTTCCCAAATCATTTACTGAACCTTTAAAATTAATCATTTCAAATAATGTATCACTTCAATCACTCACTTTAAAAAATTTCGATATAGATATAAACATATTATCAGCTTTCAAAAATAATAATAATATTTTATCTTTAACACTGGTGCATGTGTTAACAAATATCCAACTCGAAGTATTTTTGGAATCAATTTTACCAACAATGTCAAATTTAAAATATTTAACTATTGATGGTATTACAAAACCGGGCCAAAACATAACCCCAAATTTAAATAGTTTATTAAAGGAAATCTCAAATCTAAAATTAATTAATTTTAATTTTAATAAATAACTATTTTTATTTAAATCAAAAAATACTAAATTTAACTTTTGTTTATTTGAATTTATTTTTTTTTTTATTTAATTTTTTTTTTTTAATTTTTTTATAATTTTTTTCAATTTTTTTTTTTAATTAAAAAAATTTTATTTTCAATTTTTTTTTTAAATTATTTTTTTTAAAAAATCTCTAATTCTATAAATTTTCTTTATATAAATAAATATTGTTTTTTTTTAGACCACATTGTATTATTTGTTTAGATAAATAAAAAGAAATATTAATAAAAAATGTCAGATGATGAAGATATGATGTATGATGACGACGAGTATTTTGATGAAGACGATCAAGATCAAGATGAAGAAGAAGAAGAAGGTGTAGAAATTGAAAATCAGTATTACAATTCAAAAGGTTTAATTGATGACTCAATTCCAGAAGCCATTGAAAGTTACGAAAAAGTTATAAATCTAGAAAATGGGGAAAAAGGAGAATGGTAAATAAATTTATTTTAATTTAATTAATAAATTAAAACATATTAATAAAATACTAATAATCTATTAATTTAAAATATTACAGGGGTTTCAAAGCATTAAAAAAAATTACAAAATTATATTATCGTATTGGCCAATTTGATGATATGCTTAAAGCTTATATAAGATTTCTTCCATACACCAAATCATCAGCCAGCAGCAATTATATTGAAAAAGGTATTAATTCAATTTTAGATATGGTTTCATCAAGCAATACAATCGAATTAGACATGATTCAAAAGGTTTTTGATTTAACATTAAAATCATTAATAGATACAAAGAATGAAGTAGGTATTAAAAAATTATATAAATCATAAATCATAAATCACAAACAACTAACCACCTCGAACCACTTTTTTTTTTTTATGTGCAAAAAAATAAAAAATTACATATAAAAAAAAAAAAAGTGGTTCGAGGTGACCATTAACAATAAACTATAATTAAAAAAATAAAATTATTAATCATATTAATATAACTAATAATTTTTTTTAAATTATTTAGAGGGTTTGGTTTAGAACTAATCTTAAATTAGCAAAGTTATTATTTGAAAAACAAGAATATGGTCGTTTAGCAAAAATCTTAAGGGATTTACACAAATCATGTGAATTAGAAGATGGTTCTGATGATCAAAAGAAAGGCAGTCAACTTGTTGATATTTATGCTCTTGAAATTCAAATGTATACCGAAACCAAAAACAATAAAAAATTAAAAGATTTATACAAAAAAGCTTTGGAAATTAAGAGCGCTATTCCACATCCACGTATTATGGGTATTATCAGAGAATGTGGTGGTAAAATGCACATGGCTGAAAAAGAATGGGAAAAAGCTCACACCGACTTTTTTGAAGCTTTCAAAAACTATGATGAAGCTGGTAACTCAAGAAGAATTCAATGTCTTAAATATTTAGTATTGGCCAATATGTTAATGCTTTCAACTATTAATCCATTCGATTCAACTGAAGCTAAACCGTAAGTTAAAAAAATTTTAATTTATTTAAAAAAATATGCTAATATAAAATTTCTATTTTACAACAGATATAAAAATGATCCAGATATTTTAGCAATGACCAATTTAGTTATGGCCTATGAAAAGAATGATATTTATCAATTTGAAAAGATCTTGAAGGATAATCGTAAGACCATTATGGACGATCCATTCATCAGAATGTACATTGAAGATTTATTAAGAAACATTAGAACCCAAGTACTTCTTAAATTATTAAAACCATACACTAAAATTAGAATTTCATTCATTTCAAAAGAATTAAATATTCCATCAAGTGATGTCGAGTCATTATTAGTCTCCTTAATTCTTGACAATAAAATTAGAGGTTCAATTGATCAAGTCAATCAACAATTAGAGCTCGACACTGCTAAATCATCTGCCTACTGGAAATACAATTCAATTCATAGATGGGCAAATCAAGTTGGTAATTTAAATTTTGGTATTAATAATAAATTATCTGTTTAAATAGTTAATAAAAAATAATAAAGATAATAATATAAATGTGTTAAAATAAAAAAAAATATTTATTTAAAAGATATAAAGAGTTGTAAATTACAGTTGAATGGATTATTTTAAAATTATTTATAGTTTTTTTATTTTTATATTAAAGTTATATGGTATTTTTTTTTTTTTTAATTAAAAGCAGAAATTACAAATTCATTTAATTCTTCACTGTCAGATTTAATTGTTAACTCTACATCGGTATTTGTTTGAGATTGATCTAATTTCATTCTGGCTCTGACATAGATTAATTGGTTGGATAAAGATTTACCGGAAAGATAAAGGATGTGTTTCATAGCTTTTGGTTGAACGACTTCAGATTTTTCGGCAGTTGCCATACCAAGAGTTTTAACGATTTGTTTAACAGCTTCATCGATTGTTTTAACACCTACTAATGAAAAAGTTTGTACTAATTGATTATCTTCGGAGATTGCTTTCCATTCTTCGACAAAGTTTCCAACATAGGCTCTGTTTAAGAAATCTTTTGGTACAATTTCCATTCTTTCTAAACTATATTGATCGTCATAACCTTGTTCCTCTGGTTGATTAGTTGATGGATCGATTTCTCTAACTTTGAATTTAAGGGTGTTACTAAATGAACATAATGGATAGCCATTTGCTGGATTATAACGAATAGCAACATAACATGGTTGTGGCTCTCCATATGGAAGAGCATCAATAGGAATTGAGCATTCATATTTGAGAAGTTTTGGATCGCTTGGTACCATTTTAACAGAAACATTGTCCAATTGTTGTTCATTAAGAGTGTTGGTAACATTGAATTGGAATACAATATGTTCTTTAAAGACATGTTTAACACAATTGACAACATATTCAGTTTCGGTTTCGGTGAGTTCGATAAATTCGCTTGATTTTAATAATTTTCCGTAACCGCTGAATTGTGGAATAGCAGAAAGTTTGGTGCCATATGATTCTGGACCTTCTTGGTCATTAGCAGCTGAACCAGAAGCTTTTGGTGATGTGACATTTGATTCTGATTTCTTTGAGCCAGTAGCAAATGGGGATTTACCATCGCCAATCATTGGAGATTGAGCAGTTTCGACAACAGTTGAAACGGTTGCAATATCGAATGGTTCGCTGAAATCACCATTATGTAAGTATACTTCTAAACTCTTTTGCATGTTGACAGTTGGAACTGGTACATCATCCATAAGAATCTTTGAAAGGTAATGAATATCGTCTTCTTTGAATAATCTTAAATAAAGAATAGCTCTATCACGAACTTCATCATCTTCATCTAAAAGACATCTTTGAAGAAGGATGATAACTTTATCCCTCATTGGTTCGTAGAGAAGACCAAATTTGGCAATTGAGGTAACAGCAGCAGCACGAATAATTCCACTATCCAAAAGAACTCTATTGTAAATGTATCTCATATATTGAGCTGGAGATGATGTTAATGGACCTTCTTGACCAATAAGATGTAAAATTTGAACTGTAAGATCTTGGAAATCACAATCTTCGATGTAATCGCAAAGTTCAGTCAAAGCAATTTCTTTAGATTCTGGAATATTGTTGACAACAGTAAGAATTGCATCGAGAGTGGCTTGTTTAAGTTGTAATGAACCTTCATCACGAAGAATCTTGTTGAGGAAAATAATTAAATGCTTGTGTTTCTTTGGGAATTTTTGTGAGAGTGATGTAATGGCATCAACGACAACAATCTTGAATTCATCATTAATATCACCTAAAAAGTTTGCAATTTGTTTAATTAATCTTTCAACATTTGATTCATTGCCGACTTTTAATAATGTTGTAATGGCTAAAGTTGCAATGCTTCTATTGCTATCTGTAATTAAATTTTCCATATCTAAATTACATGGTACAACTGCAGTTGGATTGGTTTGGGCCAACTAATAAAAATAAGATTAATTTAATATTGATGATTTTTTTATTTGTGAATTAATAATTAAATATATACATACTTTGTTTAATGTACGAACTGCAGCAAATCTTAAAGTTGGTTTAGTTGAATTTAAAAAGTTTTGTAAAACACCAACAGCTGAGTTTATTTCTTTAGCTGAAACATTCTTGAATGAGCAAATTGAACGAGCTGCTTCATATGCAACCATATCATTTTTACTTCTTAAACATGATTCAATATACTCACGGAAAATTCTATCTCTGTAGTTTTATAATTTTTTAAATAAATTAAAAATAAAAAAATTAATATTATAATTATATAGATATAAATTAATGGAATATAAAATGATTTTACTTACTCTGTGTTTGATTCTTCAATGATTTCAACACAACATCTAATTAAATAGGATTGAGCATATGGTGAACGAAGTGAATTTTTTATTAAATTACTAACTAATTTAATAACAGCTAAACGATCATGTTGTTTAATTCTATGTAAAAGTGCTAAAGCATGATATTGAACCATATTTGACTTATTTGAAATTGCTTCTTGAACTTCATTACCCCATCTCTTTACAATTTCTGGACTGACCTTTAATAAATGAATTGAGGAAACTAATGCTGCTGATGAAACATGTGGATCTTTTTCAACAATTGATTGTTTAAAATATCTTTCGATTTGTGGTAAAATTGAACTCTAAATTATTAAAAAAAATAATTATTAATTATTTTAATCTCTAAAAGAAATCCACTTTTTTATAACCATTACTAATCCATTTTAATTATTATTATATTGCTAATCATAATATTATTTTTAAGATCTTACATCTGTAATTTTACATAAAATTCTAATAGCATTTGCTCTATAAAGTTCAATTTTATGTGTCATATCTTTTGTTAAAGAACTAATAACAATAATTGCATCGTCTGAAATTGATGATAATTCTTTTAATAATAAATACATTAATCTTCTTAATGGGATCTATTTTTTAAAAAAAGTTAATATTAATATTTATTATAGTTTAATATTTTATAACACTAAGGATAACAAGTATAAACAAAATGATGCATACATCTTTTGATTGAAATAATTTAGTTGCAGCAAAGAAAATATCAGTTGCTTCTTTTTTAGTGAAGGTATCACCTCTTGAAAGTAAATAAAGAAATTGTGAAATTACTAATGAACATTTTCTTGGATGAATAGGTGATTCATTGAAAGCCCTCTTTTCTTGAACAACTTGACCTTTATCTAAATTTTCAAATAAAAATTCAGATTCGTCATCATCTTTTTTTCCAAATTTGCCCATTCTTATAATTCCTTTTTTTATATTGAAAAAAAGTAACTATAATTTAAAAATCTTAATATATAAAAAAAAAAAAAAGATTATAGATAGATAATAAAAAAAATAAATGAACTAAAAAAAAAAATTTTAAAAAAATAAAATTAAAAAAAAAATATAAAAAAAATTTTTGAAATAATTAAAAAAAAATAAAAAAAATTCCAGTCAATTTTTATACGTGTTCACTTTAAAATTTTTTTTTTTTTTAACAATAGATAAAATAATTTATAAATGATAAATATATTTTTTTATAAATGAAAATAATTAATAAACAATATTTATATTTACAAGTAAATATTATTTATTATTTTTTTATTTTATTTTTTTTCTGGTGTGTGGTTTATTTGCTGTTTAATAAAACTTGGAGGAAATTGAAAAAATCATCATACTCTTCATTTAAATTTGTTGAACCATCATCATAGTTGTTGATTTTTGATTTTATTGGAGTTGTTGATGATGATTTGCTTGGGGTCAATGATTTTAATGAAAATTGGTTTAATAAAGATGAAATTGCACTTGTAATTTGAGATTCTTTTGTTTGTTCTTGCTGTGAAGTTGATGATGGTAATAATTGTTTAAAATATAAAATATAAAGTAATGCATCTTTTTCAGCAGTTTGTCTAACTTTGGCTTTGAAAATATTTAAATCCACAATGTTATTAATTGAAATGCTTTGATCATTTATATTATTTAAATTATTTAAACTATTATTATTGATATTATTTAAATTATTATTATTGATATTTAATTTATAAATTAAATTAAATTGATTATATTTTGTTAATATATAGTTTGAAATATGTCCAAATGTACCAAATGAAGCAACATCAGGATAAAAGGTTAATTGTGGTATAAATTCAGATTTATCTACATATTCATTAACATTTAATAAAATTGTGAAACAGTTATTCAAAATATTGATGTAAAGTGATTCTATAATAAATTTGAAAATACTGTTGCTGTAGTTTTGCTGATGTTGTTGCTGTTGTAATTTTTGTTTTTGGGAGGCTGATGTAGATAATTTGTATGGACTACCAAGTGATTGACTGCCTGTGGATTGTTGCTGTTGTTGTGAAGATTGATATTGTTGTTCGTATTGCTGTTGTTGTTCTAAAAATTCTTTAATTTGAATACTATTGATATGCTTTTCGTTCTTTGTCTTTGGTCTAAAGTTATTTTCAATGAAGGATAACTCTGAGCATTGATTTGAAATCGATACCATTAAGCGATATGAGATGCTGAGGAATTGTTTAAAGATACCCATTTGAAGGTAATAACGTTTGGTGTATTTCGAAAAAATTGAAAACAATGTGGTGGTGTATTCGATTTGCTCAAACCAGAGCTTACTGTAGAATTGTGGTTGTTGAGTTTGACCAAATTGGTTAGAACGAGATAAATCATCAAAATAATAGAATAATCTTTCTTTGTGTGAAAATATAAAGTTTGATAATTGCTCTATAAATCTTTCGCTTCTGTCTAAAGGTTTGGAAATATTAATCATAAATTTAACTACTAAGGTCCATACTTTGTGCCATTTATTCTTTTTTTGATCAAATTGATTCGAAAGGAGTTGTTTGTATGTTGATGATGATCCATAGTTTTGATATTGTGATGGCTGATATGCTGATGTTGTCCCATAGGTTTGATATTGTGATTGTTGTTGTAATGATAACGAAGATAATGAAGTTGATGCAGATATTGATGTTGGTGTTAATGAGGATGTTGGTAACATTTGTGATTGCTGTAATGTTGATAACGATGATGTAAATCGGTTTTGGTAGGGTGATTGTTGTAAAACTTGAGATTTGCTAAAAATTGAAAACGGTTTACTTAATCCAGAGTCTTCAAATTGTTGTAAGTAGGGATCTTTAGAGTTTTCTAAAAATTTTAATGAGTTGCTGCACAGTAACCAAATGAATCTATGTTCGAGTATTGATTCAGCAATCAATGGCTGTTTGCATAATCCAATTAATAGATTGAGGATAGCGGTTGAAATTCTATAATCCACTTGTTGTTGGTTATTGTTTGATAAGTTTAATGAACTTTCTAAAAGGTTGCAAAGGTTTTCTAAGAGATGGTTTGGAAAAGCGGCAATTAACGAGTTTTCATCCAAACGATCAATAAGTACTTGTAAAATAGTGATGGAAAGGTTGCAAATGGATGGTAATGGTTTTTTATTTGTATGTTTTGAATCTGAATCAATTTTGCTATTTCCAAGGATGTCACCATTAATACCATTGTTATCACCATTAGGATCAACACCTGAAGCACCATTACCATTATTTGGAACGGTTCTTGATTTGGGATTACCAATAAAGCTTGATAAAATATTTATTAATTCATTAAATACATTGATTTGAATAGATTGTTGTGGACTGTTTTCAACCAATACCAAGATAGATGATAAAACCAAATAGCAAATAGTTGGATCTAAAGAATCGATTGAGGTTTGTGACAATAAAACAGAGAGTTTTCTAAGTACATCTGTGTTAACCAATTTCTCTGGACTATACTTGCACCATTGATGAGATACTGTTAGAATTGATTCGGCAAGGAACGTTAATAGATCATTTCTAGTGACCAATGTTTGAATGGCATTACCGGTCATACCCATAGCTTTATCTACCAATATATTAAGTAATGGTAAAAGACTATTCGATGCTTTTTCGTCAGTTTCGCATTCAATAAAGTATTGTGGTTCCTTTTGAAGAACTACTCTAAAGAATTTTGAAAAAGAACGGCTCAAACAAAGACAAGAAGTTGAAAGTAATTGGAAACGGTTGTGGTTGTTTAACAATGATATATATTGGGCTTGTGCTGGTTGTGACATATCGAAATTATAACTATCTACAATATTATCGATATTGAACAACTCTACTAATGGTGTACTATTATTTGTATTTGGGAAAAGGCCATTTTCAACAAACTTTTGGAGTTTTTCAGGTGGTGGTAAATGGTGAGTTGTCCAATGATCTCTAATTTTTTCTGGTGGGCTTACTTTTTCTATATCGACATAATCAAAGAAGCCATTGATCATCTTTTCCAATTCTTTACCATTCCTATACATTTCGTGCCATTTAGTCATAGTGATAGCAGATGATACCAAATTATTACTATGGTTTGTAGAGAGTAATACTGATAACGAAAGGATTTCAATGCTACAAGAGATTTTAAGTGTCCTGTAAACAATTTGTTCAATAGATAATTGAGCGTTATCTTGGTTAAATCCTTTTTGAATTTCTAATAGTAAAGACCAAAACTCTTGATTATTGTTTAATTTAAAGTCGATAAATGAGTCATAGTAAACTGAGTTCAAATAAATATTATTTATAAATTGTAATAGACTTAAAGATAACTCATTGTTTTCTTTAATGGTTGATTTGTTATTTAATAAAAGTTGGGTGATGAATGATTTCTTTGATTCTGGGGAGGTTGGTTGATCTTTTTGGCTAGTGGGTGTGGCTGATAAAATTCTATTGATAAATGTAACTTGTGATGTTGATGATTCCAATAATAATCTGAGGGTATAGGTTTTTAAACGTGGTGACCAAACATCAATTGATTCGTTGTTGCTAATAATAAATTGTTTTGTAAAATTTTCGATCATCAAAGAGAATTGCTCGTCAGTAGAGAAAAGAGTTGATATAGAAAAGGTAGATTCTAAGACTCTGAGGATTCTAACGATACTGGATAAAATTTCGCAAGATAATATTTGAATTTCTTCATTATCGGGCATACTGTTAATGTAGTTGAAAATAATGATAAAGAGATTGTTTAAATCGGCTCTACCTTTTCCACTGCCATCTACATCGGCATAACCAACTTCAGACTGTTTGATAATAAAGAATGTATCCAAGAATTGTTTAGTTAAACCCAAGCTATTTCTCTCCAAGTGTTGAGATTTATATGCAACCTCTTCATTCATATCATCTTGATCATATTTCTTTTTATCAAAGAGGAAAGATAAATAAATAGTTGAGAGGATTGCTTTTGAAAAACTGAGTGATGAATATAAAATGCTATCGATGGAAGCTGTACGGTCACCTTTGTTTGTGATTTGAAGAGTTTCGATTTCTAAAAGAGTTTTAAGGACGCATTGAAGATTTCCACTTGAAAAGCTATTAATAATTTTGAATGCCAATGGCTTTAATATTGAATTGTGGCATTGTGATCTATACAATATTTTTTCTAAAGCTAAAAAGATCTCACCAATCATTTCCCATGCTTCCAAATGATTATTATTACCGCTAAGTATAAAGTAATCGGAGATCACTTGAAGGTGGAATGTGATAAATGATTCTAGATACAGTAAATATAGTTGTCTATCAAGTACATCTTCTAAACCATTGAGTTGATTGATAAAAGTATTAAATAACCTTACTATTGATTTAGTTAAGGCAAACGATGATGGTTGTGATGAGGTAGCTGAAGGAGCACTAGATGATGCTTTGATAGTGGAGGAAGTTCTTTTTTCTTCTTCGTACAAGTATGTGAATGAGCCTTTTTTGAATAATGATACCATATCAGCGGGGTTGCTTGACCAAATACCTTTTTCAACCAATAGATTTAAGATTGGAATTGGTGTATTTTGAGAGAAGGCTGTGAACAACGACAATATTGATTTCAAAACATCGGTGAATAACATGCTGCTATTAGCGACCACAATGACATCTCTATTAATACTACGATTTAAACCGTATGAATTTGAAAGACTGGTGGATTGTGACAATGATGCATTGTAGTTTTGTTGATTACATGATCTACTATAGACTTGAATGATACTTTGTAAAATTTGGTTTTCTTGGAATATCTTCCAGAAATATGTTGAAATATTTGGAGAAAATTTAACGAATTTGGATATCAAGTCCAAAACAACAATATAGGCTTTAAAAGATTCTTGATCAAAGTACATGGTTTGTTGTTGTATATATTGAGCTTGAGTATAGCTTGAATCTGCAATTAAATCTAAGATTGAATCGTGAAGAGAATCGAAAACTTCAACAGTTCCATCACCTTTCATAATAAATGATTTGTTTTGTTCTTTATATAATTTAATTGGTGCTTGGAATGCTCTTTTTATACTAACTGCAACTCTATTATTTTCCCAATTTTCACCCTCCATCCAATTTTTCATTCTATCAAAATCGTTTCTGCTAATGACAACTCTGTTCCCGAAAATTCTAATTTCTGATAATTCGCTAAATCTAAATTTTAAAAAAAATTATTAATAATGTGAATATTATATTATATTTTTATTAAAATATCTATTTATTAATTATACATACACTAATCCTGATGATCTTTCGTCAACAATCACTGATTTAAGAATTGAAATAATTTTTGATGAATCTCGAGATAAACTTTCTTCAGTTTTACAAAATTGATATATTGGATCATTACCTCTATTGGCCCAAAAGGTTTCTAATAAGCCTTTTCCACCTTTTTCTAGAGTTAAACAATAAATATCAATGATTCCATTACAACGTTCACTGTCCATATCTGAAAGATTTGACAATTCACAGAGTCTATTTAAAAATATATTTATACAATCACAATAACCTGCCAAATACTTAAGAGTAATAATAAAAAAATATTAGTTTAAATTTTAAAAAAAAAAAAAAAAGATAATACATATTTAAATATGTATTTTACTTACAGCACTATCATTAAAACCTGTTAATAAACAATTTGAAAGATATTCGACTGGATCAAATATTTGTGCTTTTTGGAATAATGGTTGGAGTGATCTATTAATTTGTTCAAAATTGTGGGTTATTGATGATAGGAATAAATTGATAATTGTAAATAATAAACATGTTGCTAAAGGTGAATTGAAATGAATTGATTGTGATAATGATTTGAGGGTATTGAGTATTTCTTGTTCGCTTTGTTGTAATGACTCCTGGCTATATTTAAATTTATTATTACAAAATACCAACATAACTGAAACATATTCAATTCTTTTTAATAATTGGATGGGTTCGCTATTCTTAGAGGAGAATGTTGAGTTTAGTATATAAATTAATTGATCAGAGTGTACGCCAATTTGAAGTTCATTTATCTTTTTTAAAATTGTTAATAAATGTTTGGTTCTAATTGTATTATTGTTCTCTTCGTACTTCATTTTAAAATAATTATATAAAAATAATGTTTCGACAATTGATAACTGTTCTTTAATAGTTTTTAAACAATAAAATTGTTGTAACTCCTATATATACATGAAAATTAAATTGTTAATAAACTATTAATATAAATAATTAATGTACTAATTTTATTTTATAATTACTTTTAAATTTAAAGGTATTGAAAAATTATAAAGTGGTATTAAATGTGATAGTAAACTTGTTTCGATAGTATCACTGTTTTGTCTAATAAAATCTGTTAAAAATGTACTATATTCTGAATTTGCGAATACCTTAGTAACAATTTCTCCCAAGATTTGTAATAATGAACCTCTTTCTGTATAATAATAATCGAATAAGTCAACCAATTCTGATTTGTCAAATTCTAATGGTTTGATATTTTCAATATATTTAATAATTAAGATAAATGTTGATAATTCGTTTAGGTTCTATAATAAAAAAAATTGTATTGTTAGTATTAAAGTGGTCATTTTTTAAATTTTAATAATTTCGACAAATACTAAAAGTGAACTTAATTCCAATGTAAAATTTTGAATTTCTTTTGTAATAACATATTCTTCACCCTTAATTTTAAATTTCCCTGAAGAAATTTGTTCTTTTGATGCGTTATTTGGTCCCAAGTAATCATCCAAGTTTATCTTTAGTTTATCTTCAATTTTTCTAAACTCTAATTCCTATATAAAATAAAATAAAAAACATTAATATAAGATTTGAGAGATTGGTTTATGATTTTTAAATTTGTGAACATACCATATCTCCAACACTTAATAGTTCTCCATTAAAGAAGTGTAAAAATGTTGAAAATGAATCTGTAACATTTCTTTGTGCTTTTTGTTTAAAATTTGTTGGTGTTCTACTTGATGTTAAATCTGCAGTACTTAATAGTCCACTATCATTATTTGTATTGGATGTTGAAGGTGATGTAGATGATGTAGATGGAGTAGAGGTCGTTGTTGTGTTCGTAGTTGTGTTTGCAATGATATCTGATGGTGATGGCAACGACATTTTTTTTTAAAATATTTACAAAGAACCAAAATATATATAATACGATATTTAAATAATAGAAAAAAAAATGAAATTGCTTCTATCGTATTTATAGTTCTATGAAAAACAAAAAAAAATGATCTTTAAATTTTTTTAAAAAAAATTAAAAAAATGATTTTAAAAAAAAATAAAAAATAATTTTTTTTTTTTATTTTTTTTTTTCAAAATTTAAAAATAAATAAATAAAAAATTTTATTAAACAATACTCTTAAATTAGTTAAATAAAACCAAAAAAAAAAAAAAATACCAAAACAATTCATATATTTAAATATTTTTAAATTTCCTTTTAAATAAATTTTATTTTTTTTTATTTATTGTAAAATTTTTTTTTTATTTTTTGTAATCTTTTATCAAAATAGGATTCATTATTGGAAAAAAATGTGGCGGTAGAATAACTAAAAAGAATCATATTAAAATAAAAAACCCAAATAGGAAGAAAATAATATACAAATTAAACTATATTAATAGGAAAATTTAGTAGAATATTTAGGTTTTGACCATACATGTACTTTTTGGAAACGCCTTATAAAGAGATTTGAAGATCATTATTTTAAAATACTTACCCAATACCATGTCTTTAATGATCTATTGTGTGGTGGCTCAATCAAGACATCACATGTGTATCTTTAACAACTTTTTGACAAATTGGAAAAGATCACCTCTTAGTTGAAACTGTAGTTAAATAAAGAAAAAGAAAATGGTTTATTTTTTAAAATTTATAAAGCGTTATTACGAATTCTTTTAAAAATATAAAATTAGTTAATAAAAACTTAATATAATTCATTTGGTTATAATAAGCTTTTAAAAAACAAATATTTAATTATTCAAATTGTAGGATATAGAATCCAAAAAAAAAAAATTTTATTTTTTGTAATCTTTTATCATGTTCTATTTTTAAAATTTATAACAAAAAAAATAAAAAAAAAAAAAAGGGAACAGCAAAAAGAAAAAAGTTTTAAAAAATTTTTTTAAAAAATTTTTATGGGGGAAATTTTTATATTTTTGGAAAAAAAATTTTAAATTTTGGTCCCCCCCCCCCACAAAATTCCCCCGGGGCTTAATTTAGCCCAATTTTTCCTTTTTTTCC